TCCTCGCCAGAAACAAGAATGCTGCAGTACAGGAGAACCTGGTAAGCACCAAAGTTGAGTGGTCTGGTCTTCAGTCTCGCGTTCGTGCCAATGTTGCGAGAAACTCTGTCAAGCAGATCCAAGAAGCTCTTCATGCAGAGGAGCCTCAAATCACCGATCTGCAATCGATGGCGCGAGCAGGAAAGATGCGTTCCGAAATTGCCAACATGCTTGCCCAATTTCAGGATCAAGAAAGCAATGTTCTGTCTTTTCAGTCTCACATTCGTGGTTTCCTTGCGCGGCAAAGATACTTTTCTGACCTTGGAGAACTCCAGGCACAGGAACCCGCTATTCTCGATCTGCAATCCGCCTGCCGTGGCTTCATGCAGCGTCAAAGAACATATGAAACGCTTTGTGAGCTCAACGCTCAAGAACCCGAGATTGTTGACCTTCAGGCTGTAGCCCGTGGCATGCTGCAGCGCATGCAAATTGGTCTGCAGCTTGGCCAGGCGGAAGAGCACGAAGAAGCCATCATTGATCTTCAGAATATAGCTCGTGGCATGTTGATCCGACGAAGATTCCAAGAGAAGCAGCAATTCTACAGGGAGAACATGGAAAAGGTCATCAAAGTACAGAGCTTTATCCGTGGTCGTCAGCAGGGTGAGGCGTACAAGAGCTTGACTAGCGGAGCCAACCCACCAGTGTCGACTGTCAAAAACTTTGTGCATCTCCTCAACGACAACGACATTGACTTTGACGAAGAAATTGGTAAGCCATCGTCCATACGTCCTGATGAAGAAATGCTAACAATTTACCAGAATTCGAGCGTCTGCGAAAGACGGTTGTCCAGCATGTGCGACAAAACGAGCTCGCCGAGCAGTATGTTGATCAGCTCGACATCAAGATTGCTCTGCTTGTAAAGAACAAGATCACTCTGGATGAGGTTGTCAAGCATCAGAAACATTATGGAGGCAATGTCGGAACCCTTCTCAGCAGCAAAGACATCTCGTCCAAAGACCCCTTCGATCTCAAGGCCCTGAACAAAAACTCCCGCCGGAAGCTTGAGCAGTACCAAGAGTTGTTCTTCATTTTGCAGACCCAACCCCAGTACATGGCCAGGCTTTTCAGGCGCTTGCGTGAACAGAACCTTCCCGAGGGTGATACTAAGCGCATCGAACAGCTTACCATGAGTCTCTTTGGACTCGCCCAGAAGCGTAGGGAAGAATACTGGCTACTGAAGCTCTTGACCCGATCGCTGAAAGAGGAGATTGAGAGCTGCGGTACATTACACGATTTTGTTCGTGGCAACTTTTTCTGGACCAAACTCTTCGCCAACTATGTCCGATCGCCTCGTGACCGTAAATTCCTGAAGGAGGTTTTGGGCTCAGTCATTCGCGAGAACATCATCGAGAATGAGCATCTGGACTTGGAGAGCGACCCCATGCAAATCTACCGCTCAGCGATCAACAACGAAGAGCTCCGTACCGGCCAGCGAAGTCACCGTGACCCGAACGTGTCGCGAGATGTAGCTTTGAAGGACCCTGAGACCCGTGGAACCTTCATTCACAACCTCCAAGATCTCCGAGATGTTGCCGACCAGTACTTCACAATGTTCGAGGAAGTCCTCCATCGCATGCCTTATGGTGTACGATACATTGCGCAACAAATGTTTGAAGAACTTCGCCTCAAGTTCCCCTACGAACCACAAGAGCAGCTCCTCCAGATCATTGGACACTGGGTCTGGAAAGGCTATATTCAACCTGCTTTGCTGCAACCTCAGCACTGGGGTGTGGTTGATCGTGGTCTGTCGCCTCTGATGAACCGAAACCTTGGTGCAGTTAATAAAGTGCTTGGTCAGATTGCAGTTGGCAAGCTATTTGGCGGTGATGATCTCTATCTCCAACCACTCAACAGCTACATTACCGAAGCTATTGACCGCCTGCAGGACATTTGGTCGAACATGATCAATGTCCGCCCTGCCGAAGCCCAGTTCGAGATTGACGAGTTCAACGATCTCTTCGCAAGAACCAAACCTACGCTCTACATCAAGCTTGCCGATGTGTTTGCCATTCACAATCTCGTCATTGACGACCTTCCAAATCTCTGCCCTACGCAAGACGACCCGCTTCGCGAGGTTGTCCGTGAGCTCGGTAGCGCGAAGAACAACGAGAATGAATTGTTGCATGTCAGCGCTAGTGAAATCACTCTCACTCTTAACCCCAAATATCATGAACAAGAAGGTAAGAACTCCAGACGTGATGCGAAAATGCTTGCTAATCAACCTAGATCCCGACTCTGCAATCAAATCTCTCTTCATGGAAACGAAGCGATATGTCCTCTACATCATTCGCGTTCAGACTGGCGCCAACCTCACAGAGATCATGTGCAAGCCTGTCACGCCTGAGGACGAGGACCGATGGGACGCTCTTGTTAGTGAAGAGATTATTGCTCAGCGGAAAGACCGCTCGCGACGACAAAACAATGTGGTACGCTCTTCGGCTGCTTCTACTTACACGACGGATATGAGCGCAAACTCTGTGCTGGATCTCGACTACACCACACTCAAACAATACTGTCTGGAGAACATGGTGCAACTTCAACGCGCAGGCCGCATCTCCCACACAAACAACTACCAGGATCTCCTCAACGCCATTGCAGTCGACATTCGCACCAAACACCGAAGACGTATTCAACGCGCCAAGGAACTGGAAGGTGTACGCACCACGCTGGCCGCGCTCGACGAGAAGGCACACTTCCTGGAATCTCAATTAAAATCCTACAACGACTACATTGAACAAGCTATGATTACGCTGCAATCCAAGAAGGGCAAGAAGAAGTTCTTGTTGCCTTTCACCCGCCAATACAACCACCAGCGTGAACTCAAGAACAGCGGTCGCGAGTACCGCTTTGGGTCATTCAAGTATTCTGCGCGCAACCTTGCCGAAAAGGGTATTCTCATTTCCTGGTCAGGCTACCATGAGCGCCAATGGGACCGTCTCGACATTACCATTTCCAGCAACCAAACGGGTATCTTTGAGATTCAGGGTTCGCAAGGGTCGATGATGATCCCTGGTGCGTTTGCAGAAGTGCCGCTTGATGGCCTGCTACAAGCTCAATTCGACAATCACCAGTTTATGAATCTCTTTGGTGGCGAGGCTGGCAAGGGTGGCGGTGAGGGCATTGCACGGGTCAATGTCAACTTGTTCCTGCATTTGATTTTTAAGAAGTTTTACCGCGATGAGTAGGTGGATTTGGCATGGCATAGGAGGAAGGAAGGGTAATCATGTATATCTTTGGTCGCGTACGCTAGCGTTGCTGTTTTTGTAGGCGTTTTTTTTCGTCTTATTCGGGTTGCTGCTAGGGAAAGAGATGACTGGATAAGGAGCATGCACGGAATGCACATGACCTGGTGTTTTGGGCGAGGAAGTGCTGACCGGGACTCTTAGGAATATGGGTATACCTCTTTCTGGTTTTTTTTTCTTCTACTTTTTTTCAATCTTCTTTTTCTGAGAGGCCTCTTTTCAGAGGTCACTCTCCTTTTTTCTCTTTACTTTTACAAGTTGATACCTGCATATATATCCCTGATGAGTGCGCATGGATTAGAGAACGAAGAGATGAGGGTGTATTCTTTCTCTTTCTTTTTCGAAACACGGGCTTTGCTGACTTGAATGTTGAATGATGCTTTGGCATGCGCTTGGTATTGTGTATCCAATAGCCGAAATGATATTAGATACGAAGAGAATGAAAGAAATGAAGATATGCCTCGATCTTTAGCCATCTGTGTGGTGTTTGTTTACATTTATTCTTTCTTGATCTTATTAATTCTTAGCACACGATGTCTTGTAAATAATGATGATCGTACACATGCAAACAAGGTCGATCAACATGTTAATTCTTCTAGACAGATTATCAACCAGCTTCATCCTCACAGCATTCTCTCGACTTGTTCTACTTGATTGGCATGCTGAGTCCAGGACGGCTAAATGCTCACACACAAGCAAGATCTGGAGTGAACCTTGAAATCTTGGCAGGCAGGGTCTCCCAAACAAGACATCAAAAGCATCCAGACCGTTCCTTTACAACTCAATGAAAAAAATCTCTGCACACTCGTCGTCACGAAAATCCAACCAATGTTATCTCGGCAGTTATCCGATGGCCAAGTCCATCGCGCATCGGCGTCCAGCGATGGTGAGGAAGTGCAAAATTTGACGCCATTCCGTCCTGCACGGTTACCAAAGCTCCCCTTGTCCGCGGCAGAATCGCGCCGCCATTGGCTGTTCGCAGCTCGAGCAACAAGGGTCGTGATGGAGCTCTCCATCCTCTGTGGAACCTCTATCATTACCATAGTCAATACGTATCATTCAAGGCACATAGTACGAACCCTCGAGCTGAAGAATGGACACCGATCAAATGTATGATGAACGCATCACTTTACGTACAAGACGGGCTTAGTAGCACGTGGCTATACTGCACAACGGCCGATCTGTGTGAAAGCACCGCGAAACATGGTCACGCGCAACACAACGCCCAGGACAATCATAGCGCGCGTACTGCCGGCTGCATGTCGTTCCGCATCCCCCGCTTTCTACACTCGGTCTGTGTTGCCTGCATATATAGAACCCTGATTTTCCGTCTCGCCTTTTGGGGGGCACTCTGCGTGCTATAGGAGATTTTCTTTTTTTTTCCTCCTCCCATCCTTACCTGATCCAATTGAAGGGGTCTTTAATCTCGAAACCCGCTGCAGTTGGCCCGATCTATTTTTTACTTTTTTTTGCTTTCCGCAGTTAAAGTTTCAGGGCTCAAAGGGGGGAACTGGGTGGTGCCGCAAACGTCATTCCTACAGTAGTTCACAAAACTCTCGGGATCTTATTCCGTGCCAGCTACGCAAAAAAAAAACACTAAAACTGGCGATTTGGCGAACGCGTAGGTGGGAAGACACTGGGGAGAGACAGAGAAGAGAAGCTACACGCAGTTTTTCTATTTATCAAGAGAAAGAGAAATAAAATCGCACCACTACCACCATGTCGCTCTCCCAACGCGTAACCTCGATAGAGGAGCATGAGCCATGGAGTCGAGAAGCCAGCCCCGACTCACGGCACCGCAAAATGAGCTTCAACCCCGTTGGCACATGGACAGAGCAGGCAGGCGAAGAGCCCACCATCGGCGCGTTCGAAGTGCCGCAATGGAAAAGAATATGTACGTTAACATGCAGGAACGCGCGCGCGCGCCATGCGACATGCTCAAAGCTAACGCCCCCGTGTAGTACAAGTGTTTTTCGCCGTCGTGTACTGTCTCTTCGCTGCAGGCGTCGTGTTCGGGTATGCAGCCATCAAGCCCGTGTTGCTCGAAGAAGGAGTCTACAGAGATTACTGCAGCAAGGAAGAGGTGGATAACGATGTTCGTGTGTGCTATGAGCAGGAGCTTAGGCTTAATCTCATGTTCACCATCGCGGCTGTGTCGACGAATGTTGTTGCGCTGCCTGTTGGCACGATTCTGGATCGCTATGGACCACGAGTTTGCGGTATAACGGGTGCGATATCCATCAGCATTGGCGCCTTGCTCTTTGCCTTTGCCGCAGAGCTTCCCTTTGACGCATACATTCCCGGATACCTGTTCTTAGCCCTGGGCGGACCCTTCACCTTTATCTCGTCCTTCCAGCTCAGCAACACCTTTCCCCAGTACTCGGGCCTCATTCTCGCGCTGCTAACCGGCGCCTTCGACACCTCGAGCGCCGTCTTCCTTGTCTACCGCCTCATCTACCAAGGCACGCACGGCTCCTTCTCGATAAAATCCTTCTTCCTCATCTACCTCATCGTGCCCGCCTTCATCTTCCTCGTCCAGCTCCTCTTCATGCCCTCGGTCTCGTACAAGACGGTCGGCGAGCTTGTCACCACGGCCGACGAAACAAGCGTCATCCACGACTCGGACGACGAAATCGAAGACGCCGCCACGGTCCAGTCGCTCCGCGCCGCCCGCCGCGCCCACCGCGACAGCATCGTCAGCGAAATCACGTCGCTGCTCGGCACCAAGAACGGGCTCGACCAGGCCAAAGCCGAAGAAAAGAAGAAGAACATCTCGGGCGTATGGGGCGCCCTGCATGGCTTGACGGCTACCCAGCAGATCCGAACGCCCTGGTTCATCCTCATCACCCTCTTCACCGTCCTCCAAATGACGCGCATAAACTACTTTGTCGCCACCATCCGCTCCCAGTACACGTACCTCTTCCACTCGTACCCCAAAGCCGTCGCCATCAACAACTTCTTCGACGTCGCCCTGCCCGTCGGCGGCGTCCTGTCCGTCCCGTTTATCGGGCTGCTGCTGGATAACACGAGCACCGTCTTCACCCTCGCCTTGCTCGTCACCATTGCCACGACCATTGGCGTCCTGGGCGTTATCGCGCAGACATGGGCTGCCTATGCTAATGTCGTGCTTTTTGTCTTGTATCGTCCGTTGTACTACACGGCTGTTTCGTAAGTTTTTTTTTTCTCTTTTTCCCTTTCTTCCCCCCCCCCTTCAATTCTTCCACACATGTATGTATATACATGTAAAAAAAAAAACCCACAAACACCCTCGCAATGCCACATGTTCGGGGCAAAAAAAAAAGTGACAAGAGAGGCGCCAATTTTTTTTTTTTTTTATTATTATTAGTTATTATTTGGCTAACGCAAAAACAACACAGTGATTACTCGGCAAAAGTCTTTGGCTTCGCTACCTTTGGCAAAGTCTACGGCCTCATCATTTGTCTTGCTGGCCTCCTCAACTTTTCCCAGTCCGCCCTCGACGCTGCTACCCACAAGGTCTTCCACAATAATCCCGTCCCCGTTAACGTTATCCTGCTTAGTCTTGCCCTGCTCGTCGGAATGGCCCTCGTCGCCTATGTCGCTACCAAGAGTCGCGCCATCAAGAGCCTGAGTCTCGACCAGGACGCCGGTGAGGCGAGTGAGAGTCTTATTCCCCGTGCGCCGGCTGGGTATGGGGGTGTGAATGGGTGGGCGGAGGAAGACGAGGATAGGGGGAGGAGGATGTAAGAACGAAGGTGGGGGGTTCTTGGTTTCTCGTCCCTAATTTTAACAAAAATTTTGTCGCCGTCTTTTTAGGTCGAAAAGTTTGATATATATATATCACTTGGCATATGTAGCATGGCGATGGCGTCTTTTTTTTTTTTTTCCTTCTTAAACCCAAAAATATTCCCCCCGGGACCTGATTTATGTTATTTCCTTTACCATGTTTGTGTATAGCGGATGCAACTGTGGATGGATATGCCCCAAGATGTCAATTCTAAAAAAGTTTTGTGTGTTTTTTTTTTGAAAAAAAAACCAATATCCCCTTGTATTGAACGCAGTGAGTAAAGAAGAGAAATATTTTTTTAAAAGAAAAAAAAAGGTAAACGCCGCTTGCTTTCCGTGTCATAACCATCTATTCCCAAAATCCCATGTACAAAATCCCCACATATCCCAACCTTTCTTTCACCTCATGTATGCAAGAAGAAGAAAAAAAAACCCCCACAACTCAACTTCCCCCCAAATCATCCTTTACCAACCCCCCTCGACACTCTCCAATCTGCCCTCGCCCTTCCAGCCATGTGTAATTCGGCCGGTCCCTGCGCTCCTCCCCGTATTCCACCCCGACTTGGCCCTAAAATACCTCGCCTCTTCGACGGTCGGATTCCTCTCAACCCAGACGCCCTTGTCCTTCTCAAACGCATATCCATTATACCAATTCTCCGTCAGGGCGTTGGGCCCGTATTCCTCTAGCAGCAGTTCTTCGTACGCATAGGGTACTTTGACGGGAACTTTTTCCAAGAGCGAAGTGCGCAAGGGATAGATTTGCGAGGAGAGGTAGGCGTGTGTGTCTTTGACGTAGAGTTGGATTTCTTCGGCGGAAGGGTCGGGTTCGTGGGCGGAGGGGTGGATGGTGAAGGAGGGGGGGACGGAGAAGGGGTCGTCTTCTTCAGCCGGGGAAAGCGGGGCGACGTGTAAGGTTGTGATGTCGATGTAGAGACCGTTTGAGGTGTCGATCCAGCGGGCGTCGATGAGGTTGTACTTGTCTGAGGTGGATTTGTTGGTGTAGTTTGGGTTGACTTCTAGTAGGTATTTCTTGCCGTTTTCACGGACTTCTTGTTCCCAAGCCAGGCGCTTGGAGCGGGCGTCGTCGTCGTCGTCGTCTTCTTCGGGATCGGATTCGTCGTCATGTGCGGCATTGCGCTCGCTGGCCCAGTGGTCGCTTTCGGCGGAGCGGGCGTCGTCGAGACCGAGTGAGGCAGCGGGAAAGTGATGGACTGTCATGTTCCACCATTCACCTAGCTCTTGCATGCCTTCTTCTTCGACGAGAAAGTCGAGGTCCTTGTCCCACGGCATGAGTCCGCCGTTCCACCACCACCCGAGCAGACATCCGTGCATGATCCATGTCTGGATTCCAATCTGGTCCATTGTTTCTGTATATGCTTTGAGCATCAGCCGTAGATTCCATACCCGTTCCCGGGAAGGAATCTCAGCGGAGGCAAAGCGCCCATCATAGTGTGAATTAAACTCGGATTCGTAAAAGTACTTTGTAGGTGCGTGTTTGTACATCTGGTCATTGGAGAAGGAGTTGACCAGTGGCGTCAAGCCACGGAGGGCGCGAAACGATGTGCTGCGGCGGGCAACGGGCACGGGTACGGGTACGGCGGTTGTGACATAGACGAGATGCACAATTAGGAGAAGAGTCTCGAGCGGGAGTCTCATAGTGACTGCGGACTTGTTTGTATGAGGCGCATTGTCCTATGGGTGGATGGCTGGATAAGAATGTTGGGAATGCCAGATGCGACTACGGTGCGAGCAAGAGAGCAGAAAGCACCATGGACGACTAAGCCTGTGGCTTGCGGCAAGGGTATCTGCCCGATAAAAAGAAACAGGGACAAAGGGAGGGTCGAGGGAAGGCTATCGCGTGCATGTCTCCTCATGTACACACGGCGCGCCTAGGCGTCGTCACCCACCCGTCTATTCCCGGCCCACCTTTACTCTTCATGGTCAAGCGGTGGTCAAGCCTTTGGAAGCCGGTGCCGTCGGAGAACCCGTCAATGCTTATTTAGTACAAGAAAGAATAGCGTTGGTAGCAATGTGCGGGGATAGCCGCGTGTCAGTTGAGGGTAATCAAGATGTGGGCGCGTACTTAATGCGTGATCCACCTTGCAACCCCGAGTGTTGGAGGCTTTTGCGTAGGACGAGCACGTGCTAGCCCTCACCCCTGACGACAAGCAAAGCACCTTGCAGAGACGTAAGTGGACGTCTAACCGAGAATGTACATGTACTTATGACATGGAAGGAAACCTCAAGGACCCGAGGAGGCGTAAGGGTCTCACAATGAAGTTGGGGGGGGGGGGGGGGCGCATCCGGCATCTGGCATGAAGCGATGCAAACAAGCACTTCATGAACCTGACGGCGCCAATTAGACAAGCATATCCGCTTCGGACCATCGGATGACTTGCATCTAAACCCCCGAGCTTGCCGTGTGGCACAATCAAGCTTACTTGTATATGTAATGCCGCAATATGTACCACTTGTTACCCATAAACACACAGACCTATGCATACAACAAAGCACATACAAAATAATTAGGAACCAAACAAGTGGTTGATTTGGGACATTATGTGATTATTTGTATTGCATTTTCATAAATGTACAACCACAGTTCAGAGACCAGCCTCGGGTGGGGTTCGCCGTAGAAATAAAAGAGCCCGGGTACAAGTTTCCCATCATCTACACATTTCAACATACTGAACGTCGGACAAATAAAACTTCCCAATCCCCATACTGCCCTCCCCCGTTCCACAATCCAAAACAGGCTTCTTTTGTAGCCCAACCCGAAACGCTGGCCAAATGAGCGGACGCCGGGTTCGTCGGCTGATTACACTTCCCGCGACTTTTCGTGTCAAATAAAAGGTATACGCTGAGAAGATAATACACTCCGGAGCTCGTGTGCGGTGCCGGAGAGACCAAGGAAACTGTGCGCACAATCAAATGTTCCTGGAAAAAAAAAGAGAGGACAAAGAAAATGAAGAGAGAAAAAAAGAAGAACATGGAAAAACGCCTGATTACGCCGCCCGATGGTAAGACGCCACAATGGTGAACGTTAGACGCTGCAGAACCCAAAGGTAAACAAGAATCTATAAACAGGCGCGTTTGCGGAGCCGAACAACCAGTCGACAAATAGCGAGTCCGCAACAGCCAGCGATTAAAGGGGTATATTTGCGAAGCAAGCGAAGTCACTCAGACCCCTTTTCGTATTTGACGGGGTGGAAGAGTGTGTTGCGCATGCACAACCGACCTGTGCCAGCCTCTTCCTCGGCCGCACCGCCCTTGTCGTTTTCGCGCGAGCCAAGCCACCTTCGCCACCACTCGGACGAGAAGGCAGCGTTGTAGTAGAAGCTGTTGCCCAGTTGGTTGTGCTCACCCCAGCCAAAGACGCTGTCAGTGGGCTTCGGGGGTCGGTTGAAGGTTCCCTCGAGAATCTCAAGAGGCCAGTTGTGGTCAAAGTAGACGGGGTGTGCGGCATAGACGGCCTTGAGTCCGTGGTGGAAGGCAACGGTCGGTGGCCACATTTCGGGGAACATGTGGTGCTTCATCAGGTATGTTTCGCGGTGCATGAGGTCCAAGAGGCGCTTCGACAGACGCGAGACGGTGATGATGGCGCAGCGTCGCGGGGGTTCTGGAAGCTCGAGATCGTAGCCGGTAACGTCGTCGCGGAACACCCAGTTGGTCTTTGCCGGGTCGAAGATGGGGTTGAAGGTAATGATGTCGGCCTCCTCACCAACACCCCATTCGTAGTTGTCCTGGAGATAGGAGTGGGGTGGCTCGACCTCTGGAGGGCTGGGGAGCATACCAGTGTTGGGGAACTTGGGAGGACCCCAAACTGGCTTCTCGTCGCTGTTGTAGAGCTCCTCTTCGACCATCTCGGTGAAGTTCTTCCACGATCCGTGAAGCTCGGGAATGTAGTAGCGAGACGAGCGCTCCCAGAGACCCTTGCGAGGCTGCTTCTTGGCCCACTCGCCAATCTTGTTGTGGAATTCGTAGTAGTGGCCACTCAGGCGGAGATCCATTTCCCAGTTCCAGTAAAAGTCGTATTCTGGGCGGGCTTGAGCGAACCACTGCATGGCAAAGTGGGCACTTCGGTAGACAGAGTGAACAGGAGCCTTGGCGTGGTTGTAGACGTTGTTTGGAAAAGGCTCAGGGTAGTACATGCGCATTTGCTGCTCGGACCACAGGGTTGCCATACCCCAGAATTCCTTGGGCAGGTTGTCCTCGATGACCTTTTGGTAAATCTCCTCAGACGACCAAATTGGCAGGCTGTCGTCTTTGACGTGGAGCAGGAAGTGAACATCGTACTCGCCTCCAGACTTGAGGGCAAGTTCGTTGATCATGGCTCGCAGGGTGAGGATCTGGTAGTCGCTGTACTTGTAGCCGGTCCAGGTGCGGAGAACATAGGCGTGGCGAGGCACCTTCTTCTTCGCGGGGGCAGACTCGTCCGTCTTGTTGTTCTTGAAGCGGTGGGCGTTCTTTTCGCGGCAGCGCTTCATGGCAGAGGCCCAGTTGACCTTGCGGTAGTCAACCTTCTTCTCCCAGCTCCAGATCTTGTCGGCGCCAGCCTTCTCAGACTTGTCGTCCATTTCAAGACCGCCCTCGTCACGAGAGTAGGAGTAGCCGTAGGGACCGAAGCGGCCGAAGCGATCAAAGCACTTCTTGTCGTCGAAACCGATTTCCTCGTAGGAGCCGAAGAAAGGAGCAGTCATGTTCTGGGGAATACCGGGGTAGGCGTAGATGTCGGGCAGGTCGACCTTTTCCTCCTCGTCGAGGTAGCAAGTCTTGACCTCGTCGTGGTCCTTGAGGTACTGGGGCGAGTCGAACTTGTAGGGGTCAAAGGGCACAGGGTCCATTGGTGGCTCCTTGTTTTCCTTGGACATGTGCGGCCACTTTGGCTTGACATTGTCCTCGGGATTTGGGCTTTGCGAGTACTTGACATAGTCCTGCTCGGACACCCAGTCGCCAAAGGGGACGAGAGTGCGAACGCCGTTGAAGAAGCCATTAAGGCTGAGAGGTCAGCAGGCAGCTGGAGGATTAAGAAGACGGCGATGCTTACCGAGGATAGTGTTCCCAGTGATATTGCTTGCGCTCATCGCCCTTGTGAGGTTGAGCGTGCCAGCGGTGTCTCCTGTAGACGCCGGTGCCAATCATGGAAAAGACGAGCATCACAGTAACGGCGAGGGTAATGAGACGCGCAAAAGACAGACGGGGCCGCTGAATGCGGCTGGCCCAGGCGGGCTGGCTATACTTCTTGCCCCATGACTTTGTGCTGAAGAGGGGCAGTGGCGACGAGCCCTGGCTGTCCTGGCCGGGGAGCTTTTCGTAGTTGAAGCGCGTCCGGATGAAGAGCTTGCCTGGGTTGAATCGCGACGCCATTGCGAAGGATCGATGTGTGGATGTGCTGTGGAGCGCGTGAAGGTGCCTATCGCATCTGAGGCGAGGCGATGCAGTCCGGAAGGAGGAGGTGGGCTGTGGCAGTTTGCAGTGGTGGTGGTAGCGGGTGTCTTGTTGCTCCTGATGCTGCAACTACGAGTCGGCCAGATACTCGGCCGGGCGAGCAGCAGGCAGAGGGAATGGGAGAGGAGATGGGATGGGATGCAGCTGAGACGGCAGCGGAGAGTGAAACGAGTGACTGTCCTGGCTGGTGCTGGGAGGCAGAGACTGGACGAGTGGCAGCGCTCTGGAGGCGTTGGAGGAGAGACAGCGGGCTGGGGAGAGTCGAGCAGGAGCGACCCTTTTCCCTTTCCCTTGTTGCTTGCGGAGGCTAGCACGCTAGTTCGCAAGGGGCAAGCACCTGCACTGCACCTGCCTTGCACCGAATTCTGGAGCGGCGAAAAGATCGGCTAGTGCGCCGGCGGAACGCGAGGCCGCCCAGGTGCAAAGCCCGCCGCCGCCGTGTGGGTGCGGATGACACGAATGATTGCTCATGTTGCATCACACGTGTAGTATGGTATATACACCAAGCAGCAGCGGCTCGTCTTGCTGCCATGGCTGTTGCTGCTACTGCTGATTCCCATGACAACCTGCCCACCCCCCTGGCCACCTGGTGGTGGTGGTGTTGGGCCATTGGCAGGATGCAGGCCGCCAAATCACACAGCGCCCAGCTATCAGAGCACTGTAGCGGGCGCTGCATAAATCTCGAAGCGGCATGGGCTCAGCTGGCTGCGCAACCGCCAGAGCTGTTCCCGGCTCAACAACGTCGCCCCGACCCAGGCCAGCAAGGGCATGGGGAAGCAGTTTTTTCGCTCGCAGGGTGACGTCGTGCCGCCCACGCGTGCAGGATCGGCGCTTTATCGACGAGGGCGCTGTGCATCGTGGGCGAGAGAGGCGTGGTGGGCGGGTGCAAGACAGGCAGGGCGTCCGTCTCGATGCTGGCCTGGCCCTTGGCGTCGCCCCCTGGGCCGCGCGTTCACTGCCGCCACCTCGCCTTTCCGCACCGCCGCTCCGCTCAGCACAGCACGGCCTAAAAATAATGCCTCGCTGCAGCGCCCGTTAGCTGGCTCGCATAGCACGCACTTACATAGTACTACAACGTACTTGCACGCTGCTGGAACACGATACGGCCAAGAGGCAGCCAAGCCGACTGCAAGCAACCTGTCCCTCTGGCGTGCAGTCTGGTCAAGCTGCTCTCTGCCCACCTCAGGCATGCCTACCTTCACCTTGGCCCAGCGTCGGCCCCCTTCCGACATGCCCCCGCCCTTCCAATACTTCGGTGCCTGCTGCATGACTGTCTGGTGCTGTCCACACAACGTGACATGACGTTAGGCATGGCTGGCGGTGGGGCCCTGTCTGAGAATTGCCCATGCTTGCTCAAGCCTTTGCCCGCCGTTTCCAACAACGAAGGCGCGCCATCCAGCCTTGTTTCCCACCAAGCTTACCATCCCCACCCACGCCCCGGTCTCTCCTTGCTGTGTAGTGCTAGCAAAACACCGCATGAGCCGGCCGCCTGAAGCCAAGCCAGCAGCCCACGGCCATTTACCTTTTTTCAAAGCGCCGACGCCGTCGCAATCACATTTGCCTACAGTGTCACCCTGGCCTCAATACACTATACCTCGTTTCGCAATAAGCCTGCGTCCGCCTGCTGTTTTGAGCTGAGCCGCAGCCCATGTCAATAATTCTACTTACTTTGCGCCCTCCATGCCCCCCCGATCCTTGGCCGTCCATGGTACCCTCGCAGCCAATAAATAAAACACTAGTCATAGACTCCATCTGTACTGGGTACATACACATGCTCTCACTCCAGAAACATTTGTTGCGCAACGCCAGATGACAGCTCCCTCAGATGCTTGCAACGACAACAACAACAACAACAACAACAACAATAACATGCACTTACCATGAGTATGCCCAGCTGTTTGATATGCATGCCCATGCGCTGCAGAGTTGCGCGGCCTCTTGCCCGTGCATGTTCGACTGGGACCCAGTTTCCATAGGAACTGGTGGGGATCTGAAGCCCAATTGGCCTTGTTGCTCTACACTCAAAACCTCAAACACGCGAGGCGTCACAGCTAGCCGGCTGCATGGTACCACCACCACCACCTCCTGCAGTCCGTCTACTGCAACGCTATTGACAACCATACTATACCATCCTCACGCAGGGCGGGGTAGACTTATTACTACCGCACTTCCATGTTGTCATTGAAAAACAAAGGTACAATCTAGTGTCTTTGCACCTTTTCCCCCATGGTCAAGTTTCGTGCCTGCAGCCAGTCCTCTAGTCTGCTCTCCACCAGCCACATGGCGGAGCTTTCTGTCTAGCACTGCAGATTCGGGAACATCACGCAGCTCAGCTTGGCGGTCCTTGGGGAGCTAGTTGCCAACAACATCGGTCTAAAAACGTGACCAGATGGCCACTATGAATCACGTGCTGCATAGTCCATGTTTAATGCTTACACGAGTGATTCTCTCCATGTCAAGTCAGAGTACACGACTGCGCGCCGCCAGTGAGCCAATCAGATTCGCCCCACCTCCGAACGGGCCTTCAAATCTCCGACTTGTTTCCACTTTCGACTCATCGCAAGCAACCCCACGTTATACGACTCGACTCAACTCCCAATACCAGACCGCTGCACATTCGCAAATATGCCAGGAACACGGGGCCCAGTCCCAGTGCCGCTCGAAACAAAAGGCCAAAACCTCACCCAGGACATCCTCGACCTTCTCGACACAAAAGAGCCCCTCCGCACCGATGAAGACTTCCCCGCAATCTCCCAGGCCGAAATCAAGGCCGCACTCGACAGGCTAGCCAGCAGATCCATGGTCGAATACAAATCACTAGACTCGGAAAAGGTCGTCCTCACTCCCGAATCCGAGGGCATAGTCGCAGAGGGAAGCCACGAGTTCAAGGTTTGGAAGTTGGTCAAAGAGAGGGGCAGCGTCCCAATTGCTGAACTACCGGTACGTGCAGCATGCACTATGAGCTAGCCACATGCGATTGACAAGAAGACACAGACCATCTTTGGCAAAGAAGTCGCTAGCGTTGGACAGGGCAATGGCTTCAAGAACAAGTGGATCAAGAAAGACGGAGACAACCTAGTCCTCATCCAGACCGACGAGCCCGCAGACACCACCCGCCAATTACTGCAGGCCATCAAAGACACACAGTCACTCGATGACGCGAAGCTCCTTGCCCAGCTGAAGAAGAAGAAGCTCGTGACTGTTACCAAGGTCATTACATACACCATCACAAAGGGTCCCAAGTATGCAAAGGAGATTCCCGTAGAGCACACCGACCTGACGGCCGAGCTGCTTACAAACGACGCGTGGAAGACTGCAAACTTCAAACCATACAACTTTGCTGCACTCGGAGCAAACCAAGATGCGGGCGCATTGCATCCTTTGAACAAGGTCAGACAGGAGTTCCGCAATATTTTCTTCTCACAAGGTTTCGTCGAGATGCCAACAGGACAGTAAGTTTTTTTTTCTTTGGTTCTGAACAAAGCCCAAGACCGACTGACATTATTAGCTTCGTCGATACAGGCTTCTGGAACTTTGACGCCCTTTTCGTACCACAGCAACATCCTGCGCGTGACATGCAAGACACCTTCTTCGTCTCATATCCACCAAAAGCCGACAAGCCGCGGTTAGACCCTGCAAACGAAGCAACCATGGAACGCATGGAGGCCGGATCGAAACGTCTCTTTTCCACACCAGAGAGCGAGAAGCGAGAAAAGAAGGCACGAGACTTTGAGCAGTACTGGCAAGATGTCAAGAAGGTGCATCAAGAAGGTGCTTTTGGCTCAATAGGATGTAAGTCGGATGTTTCTGAAGTCATGACCCCGGAATCTGCATACTGATGACTGTAGACCGATACCCATGGGAAGAAGATGAATCCCTCCGCCTTGTCCTCCGCACACATACCACTGCAGTCTCGACTTGGGCCCTCCACCGCCTTGCAGAAGACCCCCGTCCTGCGCGCTACTTCTCCATTGATCGTGTCTTCCGTAACGAAACCGTCGATGCTACCCACTTGGCCGAGTTCCACCAGATTGAAGGTGTCATTGCCGACTTTGGTCTCACTCTTGGTGGCCTCCAACGTTTCCTCGAGGACTTTTTTGGCAACATGGGCATCACCAATCTGCGCTTCAAGCCCGCCTACAACCCCTACACTGAGCCTTCTATGGAGGTCTTCGGCTACCACGCTGGTCTGAAGAAGTGGCTCGAGATTGGAAACTCGGGCATGTTCAGGCCCGAGATGTTGGAACCTATGGGCCTGCCCAAGGATATGCGCGTGTACGGATTCGGACTTTCGCTTGAGAGGCCGACCATGATGAAGTATGGTGTCAGTAATATCAGAGAGCTGTTGGGTCACAAGGTTGATTTGAGCTGGATTCGGGAACAGCCAGCTGTGCGCTTTGACAAGGATTAGGGCGTGGACAAGATGGACCCTTTGTTTGATTTGTTACGATAGGACACGGACATGGCCTACGCTACGGAGCTGTGATTTCAGTCTACCCTGGAAATGATATCCAAAAGAGGCGCCGAGCGCTCTAAAATGAAAACTAGACTATTCTCTCTACTGTTTCGTTGTTCCGTAAAATCAGTAGCGTCTTGATACTGGGGATAGTTTTTCTTGGTTAGGTGGTAGTCATTTCAGACTTGTGGCCCTGCATTTGTCCTCGATTTGCCCTGCGGCCGTGTCCGCTGCTTTTTGTTGCTTTTGTGTACGTCGTGAGCTCTTCCCGCGCGGCGTCAACCCCGATATATATGCGTCATTCGGTCGTCCAAAATCTCTCAATCCTTCTCCAAGCTCACCCTAACGTCCTCGTCAATCCTCCTATTTCTCGCCCCCCTATAAATCCAACTCTCACTCTCCTTTCCCCCGCCCCACCTCGCCTTTGCCCAAACCAAGCCATCCTGCCCCAAGCCAAACCCCAACCCAACCAACAACCCCAAGCGAATCGTCCGCGCAGCCGTCGAAACCGGAAACTGATGCCACGCACTCCACACGCCGCCCGTCACCATGCCCGCGAGCGCACTACTAACAAAATCCCTACTCCCACTAACGCCCCTCTCGATCTTCTTCAAATCCAGCTCATCCACGCCCTCCATCTCCTGCATCGTGCGGCCCGCCCTCCATGTACCGCGGAAAACATCCAGGCTCTCCTCGACGACGAAAAACACCATACTCCACGCTGCAATGTACGTGCCCTTGCGGAGCCCCTCGACGATGCCGTACCGCCACTTGTAGTAGTTTTTCGACTTGTGGTAGAGATACCAGCCCGGGTTGGATGTCGGCAGCCGGTGCGCGTTTTCCGCCCGGAAACGCAGCGAGGCCATGTGGCCTGCGGATAGGGAGCCCAGCGTGAAGCCGGAGAGGAAGGAGAGCGTCGTGGTTAGGAGGAGGCGGCGGTCGAAGGGCATGTCGAGGCGGGGGGAGGTGGGGTAGGGGGGTTTGTGAGGAGGAGGTGGTGGTGGTGGGGTTGAGTCGGTTTCTGGGGCTGAAGAAGCCATTGTGTGCTGTGTAATCTTGTGGTGCCTTGCGTGGGCGTGGGTGGTTGTTGGATTTGCGACTCCTAGTGGTGGGTTAGGTTTGCGGTGGAGATGCGGAGGTGGGTGCGGAGGTGATGGGCGGGTGCGATTGTGTGCGGGTTTGCGAGATTGAGATTTTTTTTTCAGGAGTACGTCTGTGATTTTCTTTGCGACCCGGTAGAATGAAGCGTCAATTGATTGAATCGAGAATTTGGCCGCTCAATGCGAAGAGGTAAGTAAAAAGGTCAAATCAGCTCCGCGCAAAGTCCGCGAATTCGAAAAAGTGCCAAGGCAGTCGCCGCATGACATCGTGTTACGCGTCTCCCCTTTGTTCCCCCCGCGTAGTAACCCCTCCATAGCAAACCACCTTGACCTACCCCCACCATAAACCAGAACATCCCAATCTTCCACACACATACATCCAACGTCTCACCTCCCCATTCTTTGTTGCATCCAATTGGCCCACCACCTACACAAAACATGACCACGCCCACCCCCCAAACCTGGACCCTCCGCCTTAAATCCCACAAAACAACCGTCCTCCTCCACATCGACCCTCTACACACCTTCGATACCATAAAAGCCGCCTTATACGACGCGCTCCAGCAAACCGAACTCCGCCACCCAGACACGGGCGCCGCAATCCCTCTGCCCGCCTCGCCCTCGGACATCCAGCTCGGCCGCCCGGTCAACATCAACGACGCACACGAGGGCTTCAAGCTTGGGGAGTGGGAATACAGTGCTCTTGACAATGGAGAGGAGGTAGAGGGGAAAGGGAAGGGTAAAGCGAAAGCTGCGGCGCCAACTGGCGGGAAAGGGGCGGCGAGTGCGAAACAGTGTCCGAAAGGGGCGGGGTTGAAGGATGGGGCTGTGCTGGCGTTTCGGTGGGTGGGGGATGGGAATTGGGAAGGGGAGGATGAGGATGAGGAGGACGAGGGTGCGGGGGAGTTTGAGGGGTGAGTTTTGTGAGCAGTTGGTTTGCATGGATAATATGAGATTGAGTTGTCTTGGATTCGTCCGAGGTTGGCTAGGAAAAGGNGGCGAGTGCGAAACAGTGTCCGAAAGGGGCGGGGGGGAGGGAGGGGGATATGTGGGGGGTTAAGCTTGCGAGCTTTGAGGATGCGTATGGGGTGGAGAATGAGGGGGATGTTGGGGGTGGGAGGGAGTTTGAGGGGTGAGTTTTGTGAGCAGTTGGTTTGCATGGATAATATGAGATTGAGTTGTCTTGGATTCGTCCGAGGTTGGCTAGGAAAAGGCGCTTGAGAAGATGGCCAAGTGCGCCACCAAGGCTCGTCTGGGGAGCAGTAAAACCAAAATACTGACTCAAAGAAGTATCGTCTTGCTTCATTTGGGGTAGAGGAAGTACCCAAGTCGATGGTACAGACGACATGGGAGAAGCTTGCTCAGCCGTCGCTTGTACGATACCAGAAATGGATGGGGAAACACCTAACTGTGTTTCAACCACTGATTTTCTAGACATGAAATTCATACACACCTCAACCTGTTCAACTGCTTCGAGCCCAAAAACAAAACAAGACGAAACCAGCCTACTAAACGGAGATGCATTCAACGCCAGACAGGACGCCTAAGCTCGGAGCCAAGCATACAGGCCAGAGAAGATAAACATGTCCGAGGTAGTATATTTACCACACAAAGCACATGACATAACTGTGTTAATTTACATGTAGACAGATTACTCAGTGCTAAAATGGACGTAGCACCTTTCTATATTCCCGTGCGCATTTACCACAAAAAAAACTCCCTGTGCACCGCATTCTTCACATTGACATAAAATATACACAAAGACAGAGTAAGAAAAAAAACCCCCCTCCATATATCCCCAACAAGCACCGCACCATCTTTACCCTTTTCTCCACCCTTCAATCCTAACCATCTACCAATACAAGAAAACAACAAATCGAAAATGTCTAAAAGACATCCTCGCCATCCTCCCTGTAACAAGCACCCAAGGCCTCTCTCTCTCTCTCTCTCCCTAGCCACACACACATGCTCTCCAGCAAATACACCATCCGCGCCTTGGCCCGGTTTGTGGCGAGTGAGACGGCGAGGGAGGTGAGGCATGTGCAGGTTGGGGATGATGTGGCAAAAGGGGTGGTTTGCCGAGGGGGTTCAGGGAGCAGTTGTATGAGATGGATGTGTTGTTTAGGGAGGATGGGTATTTTGGCGGGGGTAGAGGAGGACGAGGTGAGGGAGCAGGTCAAGGGCCAGGTGACGGGGTTGGAGGATAGAGTATAAGGTTGAGTAAGAGGTGGTGGAGGCGTAAAGGGGGGGNCCCCCCCATTTTCATCTATCATACACGTCAAGCTTTGTTCCCGAGCGCCAAAACTCCAGTTATTACCCCCATATCGTTTGTACACTCACATAATACATAAACATACGCAACCATCAGTCACCACCTTTCGTCCACCTACCTAGAATCCAGTATATCCATGCATATTTGGATCGATCGGATAACTCCACATTGCCATTGAATCTGGAATGAACAAGGCAGATAAGTCCGCGTCTGAACCAGTACCCAAGTCGAATTGCGTAAAGTCAAAGTTCATGTCGAAAGGAGGCTGTCCGCCAAGACCTATCATGTCTGCTGTAGGCTGTGCAGCCATGTTAGGATACCAGTTTGACTGCATGGCTTGTTGCGAGTGCTGCGCATGTGCTTGCAAAGCTGCTTGAGCCTGTTGCTGAGACCGAGATTGCGCTTGTGTCTGTTGTTGCTGCTGGGTAACATTGTTGCTGCCCATTGCAACTTCGGACAGGAGGTGAAGCGGCGTCTGTTTCGCAGGCGACTGGCGCGTAGACGGCTTAGGCGCATGGCTCGAGTTTTGCCTAGATTCGTACTCGGCATCTGGTAGTTGTTCATTATCGGCCCCTGCTTTGATATGTGCAAATCGTTCCTGAAGGCGTTTGGCAACAAAGTAGAATTTGCCATGCGGAGACTGGCTATCGCGGGAGACGATGGCGTTGAACATGGAAACCAACTGTTCAGTGTAGGCTTCAATTTGCAGATCCTCTTTCTTGATGATGCTTCCCACTTCACCGCAACTTGTGACTGACACCCACATCTTCATTAAACAGACGATTGCGTATATGGCGCGCACACCTGCTGTCATTAGTAATGTGCCCCCGGAAAAGCCATGGCGACTTACAAAAGATGACAGGCAAAGTCAGAAGAGTGTCAAGCTCGATGCCCAGTATCGTGTCAAGGATACCATGCGTGGCTTTAAGGCAGTCTCCGAGAGCGCCGATATGGGCTGGACCAACCGGTGCATCCTTCTTAGCTCCAGAAGCCGGCGGCGAAGAAATGGCATCCGAGGTGTACGGGGGGTGCAGGTCCGTAGAGCCTTGATTCTGATGAAGAGCAATTTCGTGTAGATAGAGATCTGTGACATGCTCCCCCAGTCGTAGAGTGGCTAAAAACAATTAGCAACAGTGTAGCGGTGAATTACCTGCAACTTACGATCAACGTCTCCGAGATTTTCATTCTCCTCCCTCAGCCCTTGAAGCTCGTTTTCGAATATCTTCAAGGCGTAGATAACTTTGGGATCCGAAATGGCCACTTCAACTGAAGCGTCGTCCATGCAGAACTCGACCGAAATCTTTTCTCCAATGTGGGCCAGCTTAACTTGTTGACAGAGCAGCTTGTCTGACGGAAGAGCTTCAGGAGAAGTTTCGAGGATGCGGACGCTCTCGGCCATGTAATTGGTCCAACGGAGAAGGATCGGTCGTCGCAAAATCATTGTGATGCTCATGCAGAGATAATAGCACACGAGAAATGTTCTTCTGGCTTCAATACTCCCAGAGTCAGGATGATACCTCTGGAACGGACCAACCGAAAGTTTCATAACATTGGGCGTCGCCCTTCTTCCTAGGCCCAGATCGAGAGCCATGACAGCTGCGCAGTTTACCATCATGTAAAAATTGTGCTGTTCAAAGTGGAGGGGTGGACGGTACCAAAGCACTGCTGCGTGCAATGCCTGAACAATCTCAAGTGACTTTTCTCCGTTGCGCCAGATGATGTCGGCAAGTTGGTCCTTGAGGAGCTTGGTCAACTCGCGTTGGGTGTCTTGCGAGACAAGTTGCTCTACACTTCCATGCGAAGAGCCGGCCAAGATGGAAAGAAACAGAAGCGGCTTCTTCTCGCGGACCTCGCGGGCTGTAGTACCTGGAGGAAAGGGCACTGCTGGAAAATGGGGGCAGATCTCGTTGACGTAGCGAAGAAAGACGCGCTCTGCAATTTCAGGAGCCATAAGATTGTCAATCAGAGGGTTGATGTGGCCATGGTCGGCATGGATCTTGCCCTTGACCGGGCGCTTGATATCAGGGTGTTCTGTAAGGTCACGATGGATAGCATCCATGTCCTCCGGAATTGACTACCATGTTAGCTCGCACTGGCAAGACGTGCCGGTGTACTCACAGGATGTTGGCCGTCCACTCTCCTGCGCTTTCGATCAGGGCCTCGCTGTATGCTCTGGGCTGGACTGTAACCAGGAGGAATATCTGGATATCTACCCGCTGGTGGATTGGACCAATCTTGCTCGAGATTTCCCATGCGATAGGAACCCTCGGCGGGCATAGGTGCTATGCCGTGCTGCGGGAAGCCTCCCTGATGCCTAACGTCAGGCGCTCCAGCCTTTTGCGCGTGCAGAGTGGCTGTCAACGCGTCAATTTTGCGTTCGAGTTCGGCGACGCGACTGTCTGCCTTTTTCTGGCGCTTGCGTGTTGGCGGCGTAGTAATGCATGGCCGGCCTGCTTTGGCGCATCGTCTGCATGGTAGGTCTGGTCGTTCTTGGTCGCACCGCACTTTGAGTCCCCGACACGAATCGCAAGCTCTGGGACGCTTCAAGTCGGCGGGGGATTTTGCAGACCCCGGGGTATCATTGATACTGTTGGAGAGGTCAGCGTGGGGTCAATGCGTGAGGTGTTGTGCTGGTATTTGTCGCTCTACAGCGCCCGATGACGTGCGCGTCTTCATGGCAAGCGCAAAGCGGACTCTGACCGTCTGCGGACAGCTTAGATCGCGTCGTTGGATGTACAGAGAGCGGTGCGTGAGAAAGTGGTGATGGCGCTGAAGTGGCGCTGCGCTGCATCGTCGCGGCAGGTGGGAAATGGCTCCGGCAACGTACCCGTCGTGGTCGTCTTCATCTTCGTGGCCGTCATCATGGTGGTCTGCGTCTGGTGCAGTTGGTGACGTCTGCTCGAGGGCGGGATCAAGTATGCTGCCGAGTGGGGCGGACTGCGACAGCTGCTGGGACTGGGAATGGTGTTGAGCGGTGGGCGAGGGCAGGTAATACGGATGTCCGGAGTTCTGCTGGGGTGCAGACGAATAGAGCTGCTGGGCGCGCGGGGGCACCGATGAGGCGCTGGCAAAGAGCCTGGGATCTATCTGGCTCTGGTCTGCCATGAGACTGCAGTGCCGTCGACGTGTGGATGAAGGTCGGCGTCGGTGGCCGTATAGTACCCGAACTTCCGCGGTCGACTGCGCCGCCGAAAAGGCTGGAGTTGGAGTGCCACGCCCGCCACGCTAGGCCGCAACAGGCTAGTCCAGCAGGCGAGCCAAATTCCAGTCAGAGACGGTACGTAATGCCACACAGGACAGAATGCGCGCGTGGCGACGAGCAACACGAAGAAGAAACATGCAACAGAAACATGGCAGCCGTCATCATTCAGCTACTAGCTACTAGCCACTCGGCTGCAAACACGTAACACTTCGTGCTCTCATCACATGTACACGTCAAAGGCTTCCTTCTTGCGCTCCTTCATCCTGAGCTGACTGGCGGGATGATGGCCACTTCATCGCCCTCGTCAATCTGCTGCTCTGCATCCTCCTCGTTGACGTCTACATACTCCAGGTTGACTGTCAACGCACAGCTGCTCAGCACCTTGTCCTTGATGCCCGGATACTTATTCTCGAGCAGAGCAAACAGGCCGCCCGCCTTGACCGGCGCAGGCAGGTCTTCGCTCGTCTTGCCCGTAAACGTTGAAGCGGCGGCAAAGTAGAGGATCGAGAAGTGGCCCGCAGGCGCTTTGCCAGGTGCCATGATGCCTACGCAATGTGTTAGGACCTGGGTGCAATAGCTTATCAAACACGCATCAAAGACGAGAGCTTCCATCAGGAATAAAAGTGTTCCGCAGTCTGCCGCCGAAGCAACAGTCGGATAATACATGCTATACTTTTTTGATACATCATATAAAGGGTGTGTTGAAAAAGAGAGCGAGAGGACACATACCTATTGTGTGCTGGGTGATGAAGAAGAGAAGACGGCGAGTGCGGGACAAACATGTGAGTTCGCGCACCGATTTACTAGCGTCGGCGCACTGGCCTTCAATGGAGAGCGCGCCTCCGCCGCATTTTTTGGTTGCGGCGACTGACGACATGATTCACACTCGACTCGCCATGTATCCTCGAATGCAGTCGACGGTTGGCAGCGTTTGCTTACGCTGCCAATGGCGTCTCATCAACAAATCCCGCCGCTTTGCTCAACCAAACCGTCGTGGAATCTCTACTATAAAAGTTGCGCAAACGCCTCGGCGGGCGTTGCATGCCACTGCAACCGTATGTAGCCCATGCCTCCACTTCCATGAAGAATCACTTTCTGACCAGAAACAGCCCTCACAACTATCTTCCACATCCGACACCTCTCCGCAAAATTTTGACCCCTCCCTTCTACCTCGTCCCAAAAATACTGCCATTCGAGACCATCTTACAAAGTGGCAAGACGTCTACGGAGGACCGACACCAGAAACACTTTCCGCATTTCGAAACTACCCTATGCGCGATGAAGTCCTGAATGGCCTTGCTAAGCTAGCTCCTTATTCAAAAGCTGACGAGGATGCAAAGAAAAGCGAATTGGACGGTGTAGAGGAAGACGAAGAGGACGATCTCATAACCATTGGCCTGTTCTTGAAACCCGGTGATGTGGTTGAACTTTCTCAGGCTGGCCGTGAGCCAGTCCTTGCTGTCTTTGTCCAGCAATTGGACACTAGTAGCCAGCTCTTCTCAATCAACGGCAGATGGACACATTCAACTCTCAAAAAAGTCACTTTCGCTATACAGGGCTGCATCGACCCTTCGCTCGTTCAGCCGCTCGTACCGTTCCTACCCACAGATCCGACAAAAGCCAATCCCAAAGGCGAAGTCCATGTTCCTAGAGACCTTGCCTCTCCCGTCATAGCCGCTCTGGAACATATGACCCAACAAGCAGAGCACATCTACCGCAAAAATGCACCAACACTTGACACAGCCTACACAGTCCTGGCCGACGAAAAAAGGACCCGCATGATGACATTGACACAAATTGCTAGGAAGCTACTCTCACCCAACGATGCAAATTGGACACCGTCACCGGCTGCGCTGCTAGCTGTACGCAAAGCACTCAATCACAACGAGTTCCGTTTTCGATCCGACTCTCGCAGCCACAGACTGACCAATGTTTTTGCTATTCGACCAAAAGTAGACGTCCAAACAGTTGAAACTGTGCATGAATGGATTCGAGAATACCGAGAGCATCTGGCTTCGAATGTAAGCACGTCACATGATAGCAAGCAACCGCCTACCAAGGGCGCGACTTATGTCAAGGAATTCCTCGACAAAGCACGCAGGATCATCACAACTAGCAGGAAATACCGTAAACCGGAACACGGTGGTGTAGGGCCGAGTACTGCACCCAAAGAACTCAAGTCCACCATGAAGGTCACATGGGGTGAATCTTTCACGAGTGCTGACCAGCAAATCATCAATTTTTTGCAATCATGGGCACTTAGCGATCAATTTGCAGGCATGGCAGGCCTCCATGCTGCTTGCATTGGCCTGATTTCTGCCACGAATTGCTACGAACCAGGGGTGGTCCGGGATGAGGGAACTGCCGACGAAAGCCTTAGCAACATTAGACGTGCCACTGGATTGCTGTTCTTACAAGAGATCGGTGTAATCTCGCCCCACGAAAACCGCGCACTCTATGACGAGCAACTGATGCTCCCCACCGTTCGCTTGTCACGAAACATTGAAGTGCTCAACGACAAGGCGGAGCTTACGCGAAGGAATCCTGACTTCCGTGATTCAATGGCGGACTTACGTCGCGACTGGGGCACAACGACCGTCTACTGCGTCGATGATGTTGGTGCCAAGGAAATCGATGATGGCATTTCTATTGAGCGAGTCAAGGGATCCGATAAGGAAGACAATGAATTCTGGGTTCATGTCCATGTTGCCAATCCAACAGCATTTTTTGACAAAACCCACACACTTTCCGGTCTCGCTGCTCATATTACAGAAACAGTATACACGCCAGAGCGATCTTATCCCATGCTTCCGACTTGGGCTTCCCAAGAACATTTCAGTCTTGACCGCGATCGCCCTGTCATTACGTTCAGCTCTCGTATAAACAAGTTCGGCACTGTGCTCGAGACAAAGATTCAGCACGGCATTATTCGAAATATCATCAGCCTCACTCCTTCTGAGGTTGCCAAGCTTTTGGGCGATGAGAATACTCTGAGCAGTCGACAATTCACTGTTGGCGGGGAAGTACCCCAGAGTGAAGAACGGCCGCTTCCAAGCGTATCACCCAGTCAACTCCAGGAGCTCCATAATCTATACACTGCTGCAAAGGCGCTATGGGAGAGTCGTAGAGCTGCTGGTGGCATCCGATTCAATTCGAACAACGTGAGCGTCCAGGTCTATGAAAGCGCCACTAAGCCTGGTTTAACCTGGTATTCGCCTTCAATCAATCGAGTACGTCATATTCAAGGAGACCCTATTATTGACTACAAGAACACTACGCCCAAAGAATTTTTGCCCTTCGATATTGGGCCCAAGAACATAGTCGAGGAGGTGATGATGCTGGCTGGCCAGTCAGCAGCAAAATGGTGCGCAGAGCGGGAAATACCTGTCATGTACAGAGGCACCGTCGAACCCCCATCTCACGAAAACCTGTCTGCAGAAGAACTTCGAAGCGTCATAAATGAGCACCACAAAAAGCATGGAGATATACCTGAACTTCTTGGTATACAGTTGGTTCGCGCTTTGGGTAGGGCCATCACACATTCTTCTTCATTGCCACACAAGATCATCGGAGTGCCCGGCTATGTCAAGGTCACCAGCCCCCTTCGTCGTTTCAGTGACATGATTGCGCATTGGCAAATAGAAGCTGCTGTGCGCTATGAAGCGCGGACCGGCAAAAAGTTCAACGCGCTTGACAGTGCTGCTTCATCACGAAACATACTGCCCTTCTCTCTCAGGCAGATACAGGAATCGATTGTTACACTGACGCCTCGAGAGCGCATCATCTCAATAGCCAAGCGAGACGCAACACTCTACTGGGCTTCTCAGGCATTCCTCCGCGCTTTCAAGTACAAGGAAGCGCCTCTTCCCGAGATATTCAAATTCCAGGTTCGACAAGTTCGAGAAGGCAGAGATTCGGTTGGCCAATTGCCCGAATATGGATTTGTGGCTACCATGTTACAGTATGAAGATGTTGAGGTGGGCGACGAGTGGGAGGTGAGGTTAGAGATGGTGGATGTCTTTGCTAGAGTCGTCTTCGTGAAGCCAGTTCGTCTCGTATACCGCAACGAGAGCGCTGTTGCTTGAACACAGGCACTACGGCTCGAAGGAGGTAAATGCAAAGAAGAATGACGCACGCCCCCTTGGCTAGCTTCTGAAATGTGTTTTCCGGCGATTTGAGTTGCCAATGATTTTTGGTCTCACATTGCAAAGGAGGCGCTTTAGTGCGACGCTTCGGAGCGTGCACCCTCAACATTCTGCTGAATGTCAAATGGATCAGCATCACGTATTTTGGTAATCACATGAGCGGACCATGTCACGATGACCTGCAGCGAAAATTTGCAAAGCCACGAGAAGAGGTCAAAAGTCTTCCACACCCAGGTTCTAGCAACCATTCGCACACTTTCATGCAAGCCACATATGCAATGCCGGAGATCGACGCAGTGCGGGAGGTGATGCGCTCGTGTCAAGATCGTGGCGCTGTGGTGGCCCCCGTACAGAAAAACCCAGTTGGCGGGTCACGTACATGTGCGTGGACAAGTTTGAATGCGAGACCCAAAGGCTTGGGTCGTTGTGAGCGGTTTTCACCGCCATCCGTGCTCCGATGGTACTTTCATCGGCTTGGCGATATCATTGTACGACGCCGCCACGACGCCATACAGCAGTGGCGTATGCACAATGCAATAAAATTGATTTAGACATTGAGGTGTTGGTTGAAGGTTACTCTCTCCATTGGTAGTACCTCTACACTGCAACTGTTTCTACCTGCCAATAAATAAGTGAGGCTAATGGTTTTCGTTCACTGATTACAGCATAGAGCCTGAACCACATTTCTGGAGGCATATCTGGACGGTAGATATTCGATAACAGTGACTTGCTGAGGGGCCGCAATTAGCCTGTACGAATTCATCTTATACTCTTCTCTCTCCTACACTTATCCGCATACCCGATGTGAACCAGTTTTCGACTGCATTGGAATTGTCTCTCTTTCCTCGTCCTTGAAAATTCCCACAAAACCAAACCCGAGCTTATCTCTTTCGTCATGGGCGAAGTATCATTCGAGCAAGACCATGCCCTCCAACACCAAACTCTAGGCGAGACCGTTGTCACGCGGAAAAAGCAACCGTCACGGTTGCAACGTCAGTCTCTTTCTTGTACAAAGTGTCGGGAGCGGAAGGTGAAGGTCGGTTCATACTAAACCCGCTGACAAATCCCTCCACAATAGGTTGGATATTTGTAGCGTATTCGGCTCAAATGGCCCTTTTCTTTCACTAGCTGACAGATGATAGTGTGACCGCACGAAACCATGTTCGGCATGTTGTGTTCGGGGTCTTCCCCGTGACTGCCACTTCATAACTGAAGACGGCAATTACACCCCAATCCAGCAAAGTTACGAACTCCGTAAACTTCGGGCCGAGAATGTCCAACTAAAAGAGCGATTTCGCGCACTCGGTATACCAATTTACGATGAAGAATTTGATCACACCTCACCTCTAGGTTCACACACCGATAATGTGTTTAGCCCAGCGGGGAAACGGCCCTCTACGAAGCAGACCCTCTATCAAGACTCTGGGTGGCAAAACAGCATTTACTTTGGCGCTCCTGGACTAGCCACTGTCATCAGTGATGTGGGTAGATGTCGTAACCCACGAGAACTTGGTTAACATTTTTTTGAGTTTAGTTCGGACCACTTTGACAACCGGACAACATTGGCGCACATAATACCCCGTCCTAAAGACATATTCACCTCAGAAGACACTCCCGCATATGCCTTTGCCACGCTCTTCAGCGCTTCTTCTGATGAATGCATTCCGCAATTGCTTAGTTGTCTGCCTGCAAAACATGAGCTAACAGAGTACATGAACGTATTTGAACATAGTGTGAGCATACATATCCCTGTAGAAGTATCGACATTTGAGACAGAGCGCTTTTTATTAGATGCTGAGAGTAATTCTCACTCTTGTCCGAGCATGCTGGCATTGATTCTTGCAGTCATTGCTCTTGGCGCGCAGCACTCAATATGGGGAAGGAATGGTAGTTGCGATGTCGCCAAAATGGAAGCAGAGGCCCAGAAAGGTAACGTCTATAGTAAGTATACCGCAACACATATCTGCTAAGCTCACATTGAGTGCAGTTGCCGCATCAATGCAGGCTTTACGACTAGCTTCGTTCATGCATAAGCCGTCTCTTGTAGCTGTTCAAACACTTATATTGATCGGAAAGTACTTGGCTAATAGCGGGAAATTCTTGGACGCATTTATACTCTTCGGCACCACTATCAGATCGGCTCATTCTATCGGTCTGCATTGTAACCCGAAACATCTCACATCCTGCTCTCCAACTGAAGCGGAGGTCGCAACGCGCCAAAAGATCTGGTGGTACATGCTCCGAATCGACGAGGAGTATTCTATGACATTTGGACGGCCACTTGGAATTAGCAGCATTGGCACTTGTTGCTGGCCACAGGTGCTCACAACAGACCCCAATGTGCTACGACTTGGAGATTTCATAATACAATTTACCGTACTTGCTAGGCAGATTTTGCGCAGCGATCGACTGACTGATCCTCAGATTGATGAGTTCACAAAAGCGCTCTGCAGATTGTTGGATACAATGCCTGAAACACTCCAATTCGATCCCGCCTGGACTGATACGGAAAGCCCGCCGTCACAAGACCTCTGGTCACTCAGGACTATAGCAACCGGTACGTCGACCAATTTTTTTTTTCGTTGATCTTATCTCATCTATTGGATGCTTATCTGCAGATGAATTCTCCTGTACTCGTTTTGGAATAAAACCGATGTCATTCGACAAAGCCTTTTCATATTAATAGCTTTTCCTGCCATTGTTGTCCAAGCAAAAAATGTTACATTCTCAATCAGCTTACTCACAAGAAGCAGTTTTCCATTGCAAAGCTCATACCTATCTCATTCTTCTCAACCGTCAGAGAACGCATCGAGAGACATTTGACGATCAGCAGATCAGCAGAGATGCTACACCGCATCAACAAACCATGAACCATTCTTGTTCAAACAGTCCGTCACCCGCGCTGTCGCCGAGAGGTTGTATTAGAGGCAGAACTATTGTGGTAGCCTCATCAAAAGATATTCTTTCTGCATTCCAGTTTCTCCATCAGAAAAACCCATCGGTATTGATCGATTGGTCTATTGGACAACAGGCTTTCAATAGCTGCATGCTCCTCTTGTTTGATGCGATAGAATACCAGCGAATCACCGATGGAGTCTTGAAGGCCGAACAAACCTTGTCGATATTCAAAGAACTCGAGGAAAATAGCGTGCACAAGCTCGCGCGGATCGCAGTTGAAAAGATTAGTCGAGCCCTCCAGACGCTGCACGACCTCGTTGCACAATCGTCACAAGGTAATTCTGAAAGCTACGGTTGGCAACGGAACCATACTTTTGGGTACGGAGCTGGGAAGAACGGGGTATCACAAGACTGGGTTGGGATCGAAAACGTCATGGGTAACACTGGCATGCAGCTGCTAGAGACCTATGATCTACGAACACCGTACCAGGAGACTTTTAATCTCATAAGCTGGGATACACCTGGTTCGTTCAAGGACCACTCAAACCAGCATGTAACTCAGCAATGGGAGCAGAATGACATGTCAAAATCAAGACCACGAAACCAGGACGACAGGAAGAATACCAGCATATCACATATACGATGCGTCACACCATCCCCCAACGATCACACCCTGCAAAAATATTACACAGCTCCAGCCTCACATGCAGATCCCACCCAGCTACCCCCACAGCCGCCGAAGATAATTGCAACACATCACACTCATCATTGCAACCCGATTCGTCCATTGCCTCCTCAAGCACCCGACGCAACACCCTTCTCAGCCCCCTTTTTTCACAAAAGTTGGACCAATGAAAAGCCTACGTACTCTAAACACAAAAATTTCACTACGATCACCCCACCGACCATCCCATCTACGTCCCTATACCGTGCAAATAAGAACCCCCCTCGTACAAGCTACCGGTCTGATGCTACGGCTTCGACTAGTCAGTACAATGTACCGCGACCTAGCACTCTCGGGGATATCAGACATATGAATTACGGAAAGCAAGGAGAAGCCAGCCACGCACACTCGATGCAAAATTTCCACATGGCAAACACACCGAACCCAGAGTTTCTAGATGCCGCAATGGACGTTGACACGAGCGAAGTTGTATGGGAGAAATATCACACACACAACACCAATACCTCTCTTTATCTACCTAACCGCAATACTTTTCATTGATATCCACCTTTGCACCGTGTTTCCATCTAGCAAAAAAAAACTCCCCTTCAAAACGCCTTCCCCTGAATGGGAAACCCATCCAAATCGCTCCCTCCTACTCCCATCCCCCCTTCCCACTCCTCCCCCAATGGCATAAAATCCAAATTCATCCTTCCTTCACCGCCAGCACCACCGCTACCGCCACCGCCAGCCAGCTCCTCAAACGCGCTCAGCTCGGGAAAATGCGCACTAGCGAGCGCTGAAATGGTATCTTGCGCTTCGTACTCTGAACGCATCCATCCGGTGTGTCTGGGTTGCGGTAGGGATGAGGAAGATGCGGTGGTGGTGGAGGGTGTGGACAGGGTATGGCTGAGATCGGGGCACCAGGGCGAGGGGTCTGAGGATGATGGCGGGATAAGCATGTAAGAGTCTGAACGGTGGTCGTCAAAGCGGGGAGGAGGAGGAGGAGGGGGTGGTGGTTGTTGGGCGGCTTGAAGAGACAAGGAGGGGTGGAGGGGCGGAGTAGTTGCTGCTGTGCTGGAACTCATTGTGCGTTTATGCCTGGTTCCGGAAGTGTTTGCGCGGGGACGCGAAGTGCTGCTTGAGCTCATTTGACGTTTTTTGTGCCAGGGCTGAGCGGCTGGGGGTATGTCGGCGTCCGTGTCGATGGTGCTGCTTCTGCGCGCGGGCACGAGGCTCGACGGCGGTTTGTAGATGGAGAAGGATGTCGCGGAGAGCGGGTCCGGGCCGCCGCGCAGTTCGACCATTACGGCGCGGAGGACGGTGGACATGCGCTCCGCGGGTTGGTAGGTGTAGGCCATGTCGGAGAGGGCGGCGGCGAGGCATTCGAGGTATTGCATGTTGTTTGCGCGCGAGACGGGGTCTTTGATGAAGGCTAGGGCGGCGACGAGAGCGGTTGCTGCCGTGCCCTAGAAGTTTTTGGTTAATATTTGTCCTTTTACAGAGTCGGGTTGTACGAATACGTACGGCATGTTGCATTCCAGTGATGAAGATTTGCTTCGTGTCGAATCGTTGTCGATGCTGCCAATATATCCTTGCTACTCTGATTGCATGTTTAGTACACACCGTCCTACTCAACGTTGAGAAATGGTCGTCGGGTTCGTTTTCATTGCTTGCTTGGTCATCGTAGAGCGCGAAAGGGCGATGCAATAAGATCAGACTGGAGTGATATTGCTGGTGGAGCAGAAAGAAACTAAAGGGTGCTGTTGCAATATTGTTTGGTGTCCATAGAAGCTGTTCGGGTAACCTAGCATACCAGCTGCTAAACTCACGATCTAGTGCTGCCATACGGATGTACTGGTTTCGGTCTATAGCCGTGTGCGAGTCCGAGATGGCGGTTTGAGAACGATGGGGATCCATGTTTTCCGTTATTTTACCAGCGAGCTCCATGAGGTCAAGAAGGGCTTCGTAGATCATGGTTTCCATACTCTTCTCAGGACCGGCGGGGCGACAAGTACCAAGGCGCTCGAATTTGTTGGTGAGATTATAGATTTCTAGATCCGCAGATTTCATGGATGTCGGACGACCGAGGAAGAGTGCCCAGTACTTGTCGTAGATCACGCATGCCCAGAGAGTCATCTGTCGAATCTCTATCTCGCGAGGGGGGAGGCCGAGAGAACGTGTGTCGAGGTGGAGACTAAATCGCAGTCAGCAATATGTCTAGGTCCCTCACAACATTCAGAAGACAAACCCAATGTCAAATGCAAGTCTCACAGCCATCCCGGCATACATCCACCCACTGTTGTCCCTGCCAACACCGCACTCCAAGTCTCCCAGCAGTAGCAGTGCAATCACACTGGGTATTCCGCCTGGCCTTTCGAGCTCCTGGTCGAGCATGTACTTGGCCTCACGATGCAAAGTACTCTCCATGCCAGGCATACTAATCCTCTTGATATCCGGTCTCTCTTTGTTAGCAAAGCGAAATCCCATAGCCAAAACACAGACGTGCAAGAATCCAGAATAGAACTGCGTGCGACCCGTCTCGCGGTCCTCATTGAAGGCATCTTGGTGAAGTACATGAAGGACGGGGTTGTAGAACTGCCAAAACAGATTCATGAGGTAGTCGTATGTTTCAAGTGGGAGGGAGCGTATGATTCTATCGGCTCGTCGGGCCTGCTCATTGAATTCTTGGGTGATGTTCAAAGGGTTTACGGACTCGGAGTGCACGTGACAGTTTGTTGTCGGGCCAAAGTACCGAAGGCGCCCGTTGAGCTGGTCAAAGGAGAGATGGCCGCGTGTAGACAAAAGTCGGTTAACCATGCCGTCCTTTTTTGGCGGAGGTAGCATAGGCGGAGAACCCACGCTGTCTGCATCTCCATTTGAGATGTAGGGGCTGAGACCGAAGTCTTGTTGCTCAAACTCTGGGTAGTCTTCCTGAGGGCTTTCCTGGCTAGCAGGACTAGAGTTATCGATGTGTGCAGTCGTGTGCTCAGTGACCTTTCGACTTGGCGAGGTGGGCTCTTCCTCGATATTAGGAGCACTATGTCGTGTTTTGGGTGGATGGTTCGCAGGAGGTATTTCCTCGCCTCGCTCCTTCAGCATGGCTTCAAGAAGAGCGACACGGTCCGTAAGAGAGCACATGTATGCTCTCGAGATGGGCCTACATGTTTGTTAGCTGCTTCGCAAACATTTTATACTCCCGACACACCTTCTTCGCTCATCGTCATTTTTGATAACGCACTCTACACCTGATCGTTTACACTGGGTGCACTCTTTCTCTCCCGGAGGTACCACACACTATAACTTGTCAGAAAGGTTTGTATAAAAAGGCAGTGACCATACACGAATCCTGCGGTCTCGGCACGAAGCACAGGCGATGGATGCTCTGTGACGGGGTTTTGAAGACTTCTCTTTCGAAGATGCCTTCTCAGGTACGTTCTGATCAACCTTGCTGTCTTTCCTCGACTTGGGTTCTTGTGATTCAGATTGTTGCTTAGTCACTTTGGGAGTACTCGATGTCTTGTTCTCGCCAGCCATCACTTTCTTCAAGGCCACTTTTGGTCTCTGGCGCGTTGGACACTGCAGATCAGTGTGAAAAGAGGAAGAAGGAATGCCACGTACGGTGCGACGGATGTCATGGGGGAGAGACTGTTAGACCCACCACGATGGCAACACTCCACACTAAATCCAAACTTCGGCCTGTGTTGAGCGACTGGGCTAAGACTAAACCGAAACCTTTCCCGCCAAATGCTGGGGGAGCAGCATGCGTCCGCGTCTTGGAGGTGGGGCCCCGCAATTCCATTCTACCGGGCAGCTCTCCTCTACTCGCTCCAGGCGGCGTCCGCGATAAGGAGTGCCATGCTTGCCCTGAAGTGATATTCTACTAGCCAAAGTTTGGTCCTGGCTTAGTATGCCCCGTATCGATCCGAACGCCTGGTGCAACGAACGAAAAACATGATGGCTCTGAGCTTTCCGGGCGCGGAGGATCTGCCTGTGAGGAGAAGGTTACTTAGTTGGATGTTATTTCTCAACATGCTCGTTGACCGGTGATGAGCCGAACATGCATGCAATCGCCGTAGCCAATCCCAGAGATCTGCCGTGGAGATGCGGTGCAGTCATTCCGAAGCAGGAGTCACAGGGACTTTTGAGTGTGACGCGCATTCAGCTACGTGCGTAAATGCTTGATGCGGTCCTGTCTCGACAACGCTTCCAATGACAGCTCACTACACTCGTATCGCGGTGCATTTCTCATGGTACCCCAGAATCTGCGAGTCGTGTTGGATGGAGCTGAGGGTTCAGTCTGACTCGAGATGTATCGGAATGAGGGGTTGGATTGGTAAGGGAGTGTGGCGGAATCTTGGAACTGGCAAATAATCATTGCGATTTCAATGTGGAGGCTAGGATGTCAGCATCCGCACCTACAAGCAATCGGTCATCGCCATGGGTGGACGTGCATTCGGCTTCTCAGCACATGCTGTCATGCGCACTATCCCTCGAGCCAGACAACGCCGGATGAAAGCCCGTATTGGTAATTCTGTGTTACACAGGTCGATGAGGTTCGATGGAAGGGCTACACAGTGCCTCGTCGATCGGACCAGAAAATGAAACAGAAGAAAGCAAACAGCTACTGAGACGATCTTGCCAAACATCTTAGTGAAACATCCCGCTCAGTACAAGTAGATGAAAAAGAACGCTGCGCCCATTCAACCTTATGCCGTTCCATCAAAGACTACAACCAAATGTCCCCTCAGTCCACGTCCCATTCATGGTCCCAGTTCCTGATGTATGGGCTGAGCCCATGCAAGTCTCGTGTTGCTGTTGCCTTGACATCTCCGTTCCCCAAAAACGCAAATCGATTCTTGTATCTGTATACGTAGTCGTAGTCCTCCCAGCGCGGATTCTTGATCGTTTTGAGAAAATGAATTGTCTGCGTCCTGTGCGTTAGTGGCTGAGGGAATAATGCGGGGTAATACGGGAGAGGATAACGCTAGCAAGGCGATGGGACGGATGGTCATGGGCCAAACAGGAGTAACTTACCGCACCTGGCCACAGGTAGATTCTGCCTTTTGTCGACCCATTCTTGAACCAGCTCCGACACTCTTCTTGCCACACTGTAGTCTTGTGGAACTCGTCAAAGTGCGCATAAATCTCATCTAGCGCTTCTTGCTTCACGCTCATTGCTTTGATGCCCTCGCACTGCATCTTCTTCATGCACTTAACGCTGTACTCGATCGTCGTCTCAATGCTTGGTAGTAGTGTCCCATTACTCCATGTTGCCCCGGGGCCCACTATCGTGTAGTAGTTGGGAAATCGCGGTGCTGAAACACCCATGTAAAGGTTAGGCCCGTTCGTCCAGTCTTCCTTGATTGAAACTCCTGAACCATTGCGCACGGTGAAGGCTGGTTGGAAAGCGACCTGAAACCCTGTAGCGCATACGATTGCATCTAGTTTGTGGATTTTGCCATCGACCGTCTTTATTCCCTCTGGAACTACGCGCTCGATCCCATCAAAAACTGGTCTAACATTGTCTTGTGTAAGCGCTTCCAAGAACCCGTCTCCGGGCGAAATCCGCCTGCAGCCTACAGACCATTTGGGAATGATGAATTCTTTCAATTTGTCGTGGCCGGGACCCATTCTTCGGTGCATCTCCTTGGTGATGACGTCCTTGAACTGGTTCTGTAGTTCGGAGTTTTGCTGGTACATGCCAAACAAGCTGTTGATTTCTGCTTCTATCTTCTTTCTGAATTCCAGGTGATATTCTGGGTCTTCTTTGAACTTCTTGATGTCTGTTTCGGTGAAGGTGTACTGCCGCTGGCCTGGGTCGATATCTTGACCTTTTTGAAGGTTGTCGGTGAGTGCACCCGCGCCAAAGGGCGGTGATATCCATGTTGGACTTCGCATGTATACTTCGAGCTGTAGAGGTAAGATATCAGACTTTTGTTTGTTGCATTCATACTGGTCATATTCATGACTAACCTGTTTTACAATCTTCTGTAATGAAGGCACAATTTGCACGCTGGTCGAGCCAATACCAATGACACCCGCGGTGATGTTGTTGAAGTCGACGCTGTGATCCCAACACGCCGAATGAAGCAGGGGACCTTTGAAGTCATGAAGTCCTTGAATTTCCGGCCATTTCCAGTTGTTTAGAATACCTATCCTTGTTGGCTCTGCTCAAATGCTAATCCAGTACCGACTTACCTGATCCATTGACCAAAACATGTGCCCAGTCTTTCCTCATTGAGCCAGTTGCTGGGTTTCTGATTGTTAGATTGTAGCATCCATCTCCATCATTCCAAGCTGCTTCCTCGACCTTGCTGTTGAGCTGCATGTACTTTTTGCTTCCGTGCCTTTCTGCAAAGTCTTCGAAGTAACCTTGAATTTCTTTTCCTGATGCGAAAAACGTTGACCAATCGGGTTTCGGGTCGAATGTGAAGTTATAGTCATGCGAAGGTATGTCGCAAGCAACACCTGGATAAGTGTTCTCATACCAGGTTCCGCCAAAATGCGGGTTCTTGTCAAAAAGTGTCAGTTCCCAAGACCCCGGCTCTAGCATCTTCTCCATCTTGTATGCTAAGCAAAGACCTGATGCACCGGCACCGATGCATGCTACCCGTAACTTGGCAGGTTTGGAATGGTATTGGTTCAGAATTTTGTAAGGGCCGTCAGCATGTGAGGGCGGGTAATTATAGTCATGGCTATGGCCATTGACGTGGACCCCATTTGGCATCCTTGCATCACCCATCGTGGTGATTGTCAAACGCGGGCTCAATGATCTAATGTTGGCATAGAATTAGAGGGTGTGGCTTATCTCGATGTTTTGGTGTAACCGGCGGAGAAAATAGTAAGCAGCAAAGACAGATGCGGCTGCAACCTTACAGGTGAAACACTGCGTCTTAAAGACAATAGAAAATCAACAAGCAGTGATAGAAAAAGCATCAAAGTATTCCGATATAACGATTAATTATTGTGGAGTGTTTAGCCGCGTCTCGGGTGACTTCAGACGTTGCACGAAACACGGATCAGTTTAGGCCCAACTTCGTTGCTTCTGCTTTCGGAAATGAAGGTGTATCTGGGAGCGAGATCTTTGGCTAATCCAGTTCCCCTCCATATTTGTCGCTTATCTGGAGGCTTGTGGCTGCTGCATAACAATTCAATGTGCGCCTGCTGAGGGGTTACGGAAGACGTTATGCGGGGTGGTTCCGATAGTAGCAACCACGCGTTTTTGATTGCTGGATCGGTAACATCGGGGAGTTCGGTATCTGGAAGATTTCCTTGAACGCGAGGCTCGAGCTTTGTCCATTAGGTACATGTGCCTTGCAGTTGCGAGAGAACATGGTGTCTTTCGGGTAGTAATGGTTTCGCCTACCACGTGGGTACGAGCCAACAACACCACGACCTTAACCAACCCTGACACAGCAGTTACTGGTGTGATCATTGCTCTTGCGGCCAAGGTAACCGTGTAGGATTGCAAAAATGAATAGGGGCCCCTGTCGGTCGTTTGATTTGGCATAGCAGCCAATAGATAGTGAGCAAGGTAGACTACAGAGCACATGGTGTTGGACCATTGGCTTATCAACAAACCTAAGCGCATCCATCTGAGATCCTGGTTTTCGGTACACTGCGGTGTAGTATTACTGACTGCTTAATTGTTCTTCTTAGTAAAAAGTATTTCATGTTCAAAATGATGGACAAGATGGATGTTTGCTGGAGAAAAACAAGGTGTGTACGGAGTCTGGGAGCGTGAAGCCCTACGTTTTTTCATCATGCACCAATTACAGTAAGATTATTCGAAACTGTATTTCTGACCTTCTTTTTCTTAGAAAAAAACAGGTTGATATTCTCGTGGCTTTGGAGGCATTCGAAAGTTGCGCGGTAGGGCTTCGTAACGTTGCGGTCCCTATTTAATATAGCAAATCATAATTACTTGTAGTACACGAAATGATTTCCTCAATGATTGATAAATATACTTCTGGTAGCCACGGGCATAAGGATCCAACATACTGAACGGTTGGTCTTACAATGTTATCGCAGGTTCACACATAGCATGGAACGTCTTCGTAGCTAGAGAGATTTAAAAGCAAACATTATAAGTCGTCTAAACCGGTCTCAGTTTGGCTCGTTCACTCGGGCAACTCAGGCGGACGACTGCTGGAAACTCTTCCGGGCTTGATGCTGCGCTAGTATCGTGGTTAACCCCACCATCTATCGTCCTTTGATGAGAATAGCATTACCCTAGGATACCAATGAAGGACATACCGGAAACGAAGCTTCCCGTTTTATCACACTGACAGCCCGTAAGGAGCGTTAAAGCTTGCAGCTTGAGCTACATGTTCCCTTCACAACTTGTTACAGTTAATGCTGATTGCTTGACTCGCGTAGCTGATCGGGCTAACTGCTTGATGCCCTAGCCAATTTAGCTGCTCTAACCAAGCTCTGCCGCCTAACGGGTGACCTGGCAGTACCTACTCGAAAAATACACCCGTAGCACCTAAGCATCCGAGCATACATCATAAAGCGAGCTAAACTCATTGGAAGCATCGTAACATAGAGCTAAACTCGCAATTAAGTTCTCATCTCCCTGCCGATTTGCTTTCCGCGAGCCAATTACGTATTTCCATTGGACAATGTCGAAATCTGCGCTCGTATTTGGCGCCACAGGCATAACCGGTCAGTAAAGACTATGGATGTGCTGGTTCGGTACACTGATGCACATGCGACCAAACAGGTTGGTCTTTCATTAACGAGATCCTATCCGACTATCCCATAAAGGGCGCCTGGAAGCGCGCTCACGCTCTCTCGAACCGTCCAATTACCCTCTCACAAGCACAATGGCCAGAAGATCCTCGCCTCAACATTGTCACTGGTATCGACCTGCTCGCCCATAGCCAAGAGAGTCTTGAGAAAGGATTGGTAGAGAAAATCCCCGATGTTGCAGAAGTAACCCACGTATACTATGTCGCGTATAAAGCGGGGTTGGATTTTAAGAAAGAAATGGATGAGGCAGTGGAAATGTTCTCGAAAGCAGTCAGAGCCGTTGACAAGCTATGTCCAGCTCTTGAATTTGTTGTGTTGCAGGTTGGAACAAAGATCTGTAAGTTTGCCTTTCCGAATGTAATGTATAAAACAGACTACTAACTTGACAGATGGCGTCCATCTCCGCTCTAGTCTCTCTTGGTACGGGCCCACGGATGCGGCTCCTGCTCTTCTCTCACCTCCCTTCTCCGAATCAGCCCCACGTATACCCCGTCCGTATGCCGATGATTTGTTCTACCACGCGCAGATCGATTTTATCACTGAATATGCAAAAGATAAAAAATGGAGCTTCATTGAAACCAGACCAGATTTTATCATCGGATTTGTGCCAAACGAGAATTACTACTCTATTGCTACTTCGGTAGGATTTTTTCTCAGCTTATGGAAGGAAGTTCATGGCGAGGGAGCGGAGTGCTCGTTCCCTGGCTCAAGAGGCACCTGGAAGGCCCTGAGTAATGACTCGAGCAGTGATATGATTGCACGTCAAACAATTCATCTTACGCTCTCTCCTTTTACCCCGAAGGGTGCTGCTTATAACGTCGCAGACTCCAGGACGCCATCCAACTGGGAAGTCAAGTGGCCAATTCTCTGCTCCTACTTCGGTCTCAAGGGTACGGAGCCTCTTCCAGAACCCATTGACCTGCGCAAGTTTATCAACGACAACATGGATACCTGGCTGGCGACGGAAAAGAAACACGGGCTGCAAAGCGGACACATTGATAGTGGCCGCGGAATGCGGATCGCCGAGTATTACATCATGAACAAGTTCGATTACGATAGGCAATTAGATTTGACAAAGATCTATAGTACGGGTTTTACGGAGGAGAGGACCCTGAAAGAAACGTGGTGGACGGTATTTGACAGGATGCGCAAGGCAAAGTTGATTCCGTAGGAACTTGTTATCGGAGGTACCAGTGTAGCTAAATCGAATATTTCAGTTACACTGTACCGCGTAGCATAGCCAATACTGAATAACTGGACAGATCAAAGGTTTTAGAACATACAAAATTCAATGATATTTAATGGCTCAAGCGTATTGATATAGAGCGCAACCTGTGCCACAAGAGACTCAACATCTGTTGAGCCCACTCTGAACAATTTAAAAATTCATGTTGATCATGATGGTCTTCGGCTCCGTAAACGCCCTGAGCGCATGGATGCCACACTCCCTACCCAGCCCGCTCTCCTTGCTTCCTCCAAACGGCGTATTCATAAACATCAAGCTGACACAGTTGATACCCACCATGCCACTGTCAAACTCACTCGCTACACGCAGCGCCCTATTGATATCCGTCGTGAAGACGCCAGCCATGAGTCCGAAATTGGTGTTATTCGACAACGCCATAACCTCCTCTTCTGTCTTGAACGATTTGACCACTGAAACTGGCCCAAAGATCTCCTCGCAGTGTAACTCAGAATTTGCGTCCACATCTGTGAAGACCGTAGGCTCGATGTAGTATCCCGATTTACCGACGCGTTTGCCGCCAACAGCAAGCGTACCGTAGCCCTTTTCCTGGCCGCGCTCGATGAAGCCTTGTACACGCTTGAATTGAGCTTCGTCGACAAGAGGCCCAATATTCGTGGACGTCTCATCTGGATCTCCAATATCCTTGACCTTGTCTTTCATAGCGGCCTTGTACTTTTCGATAAACGCATCGTAAATGCCCTCTTGCACGTACACGCGGCTAGCAGCGAAGCACACCTGGCCTGTATTCACTGTGATGGCATCGGCTGTCCATTTCACCGCGTTTTCCAGATTGCAGTCGTCAAAAACTACAGCTGGAGACTTGCCGCCTAGTTCTAGGGTGACGCGCTTGAGATTGGATTTCGCGGCCATTTCTTGGATCTTCTTGCCCGTGGCGATGGATCCTGTGAAACTTACTTTGCGGATGCGCATGTGGCTGGCAATGAGCGCGCCAGTACTGCCATCTCCAGATAAAATTTGAAAGACGCCAGGCGGGAAACCGGCTTCTTTTATGAGTGTGCCGAGAGCAAGAGAGGAGAATGGCGTTTTCTCAGAGGGCTTGAGAATGAAGCAGTTTCCTGTTGCGAGGGCCGGTGCGGCTTTCAGGCCTATCGTGCCAATGGGACCGTTCCAAGGTACTATTCCTGCTACGACGCCTAATGGTTCATTGCTGGAGTCGTGTCAGTTTCCGAGCAACATGGGAAGTGGAAATGACCATACCGGACTATCTTGAGGAAACCATCTTCTTGAGGCCACGACTCTCCACCAAACTTATCAATGAATCCAGCGTTATATCTGAAGGTCTATCAAAGAGTCAGATTTCTTATTTTGAATAGCTGCAAGTTGTTACTGCAAAGTGACCTACCTCGGCACAAAGCCCAATTTCAAAGGCTCCAAACGCCGCTGGCGAACCCAGCGATATTCTCGTTAGTTGTGCGATTTCATTGGCATTTTTCTCGATCAGGTCGGCGAATTTGTTCAATATGCCTCTCCGCTGAGCGGCGCTCATTTTCTTCCATGCAGGAAATGCCTTCTCGGCGGCATCGACAGCGGCGTCAACGTCTTCTTCACCCGCTAGAGGTACATCGTCGGCGATGAGCTCGCCATTCTTGGGGTTGTGTAGTGTGAGCTTCTTATCAGACTTGGAGTTTACATATTCATTGTTAATGAAGATCTGTTTGGGAAGGTTCTTTGGTGAGTACTGGAATGCCATGGTGGGCAAGGTGCTGTTGGAGTATCACAGCAAAAGCAAGCGACGAAGGGGTAAGCAGAGAAGTTCAATGCAAAAGAATTCAAGAGGGGCTGTTAAACCTGTGATTAGATCTTCTCGTTTTGAATGGTGCCACTTGATGAGAACATGCAGTTCCAAGCGAGCGTAGCACAACTTGACTCAAGTGGCACTAGGCCTGATGATGGCCAGTCCGGTCGATCCGAACACATTCATGCGCAGCTGTGGGTAGCACTACAAGTGGAGAGAATGGCTTGGCAACGACTTGGTGGGTGGAGAGTCAAGGCTCCGGCTGATATTGAACTTGCTCGCGCATTGTTTTCCGCTGCGGTCATGGCACACAGTAGCGAGTCATCTACTCCACTTTCCCCGCACACCACCCCGTCATGCCGCGGGACATCCCGCACTGGACGGCCACGTACCTGTTTTTGAGTCGTTAGATGATTACTCGTACACATTTGAGTCATGTAAGGGATTGAACTGGAGACGTTCGTTGTTGAAAAAAACACAAACATGTTGCAGCGAAAACATTACAAGGGTTAGCAATGATGGCTTGGGGAGAACAGAAAATTATGTGGTATTGCAAGCTTAAAGAATGGAGGACACCTGGTTGTTGATAAAAGGATTTGCTTATTCCCGGAACATCCCTTCCGCTCCTTGATGCGGACTAGGAATATGGTACGACACCGGATGTCTCTTACCTTGTGAAAAACATTGGTGTTGCAAAATGCGTTGATGATTGTTCGAACTTTCTTTACATTCACAAAACGGATTCATCAATAGAACGCTTGCTGAAATGCATACAAAAGTTGCTCTAATTACTGGCGGGGCGTCAGGGATAGGTTTCGCTACTGCAAAGGCCCTCTCAGACCACCCAAGCGAAACCTGGGCCATTCACATAGTCGACCAAAACGCTGCAGCAGGCAAAAAAGCAGCATCTGAGCTAAAGAATGCTTTCTTCCATCAAGCCGACGTTACAAGCTATCAATCTCTCACTTCTGCCTTTGAGGTAACCTGGAGCAACGCCGAACGCCTCGACTTCGTATTTGCAAATGCCGGCATCGTGGAAAGAGACAACTTCTACGCAAAGCATGATCTCAATGGTCCACCTCCTCCACCACCAAATAAGTTTAGCGCCGACATAAACTACAAAGCTGTGGTTGATACGTCGTATCTCGCTTTGCACTATTTCCGCAAGACCAAGGCCAAGAATGGAGGCGATGGATTTGATCCTGTTCTGATCATGACAGCTTCTTGTGGAGGTCTGTATCCGAGCGAGTTCTGTCCCATTTACAGTGGAAGCAAGGCTGGATTGATACTTTTCAACCGCGCGATCGCAGTGGCGTATCACAATGAAAGCATACGCACATCTACCATCTGTCCTGGAACCATTAAAACGGCGTTGATGTCGGAGGAAGAGTGGAAGTACTTCCCGGTCGAGTATTTTACACCAGTTGAGACGGTCTCGGATACTGTCATGAAGCTTGTTGAAGGCGCAGAAATGAAAGACGCGAAGGGGGTAAAAAAGAGCAAGAATGAAATCTGGGGGCTGACGGTGGAGATTAATGGAAGGAATTCTTACTTTAGGGATGGTCCTGAATACTGCGATGACAATATGAAGGAGATGATGACGAACACTAGTATGACAAAACAGCTGGCGAGGATTGAGGGCAAAAGCAAATAGGTATTGGACAACACATTTGTGCGGTTAGAGAGTGATTAATTCTTTTTAAATCTTTGAATACCGTCCACTTGCCAGTCTCACTCCACCGTCCACAGCTATATCTTCTCCATTGATGTACGCTGCCGCAGGACTACATAGGAATACCATCACTCCAGCAATGTCTGATGGTTCTCCTAATCGTTTCCTGGGATTGCTTTCTTCTAGCTCTTTCTGTCCACCCAGTATGCCAATCAAGCCATTAGCGAGTTTTGAAGGAAAGAAGCCAGGCGCAACAGTATTTGTCGTGATGTTCCTCGGCCCAAGCTCGACTGCTAGCTGTCGCGACAAATGATGTGCAGCTGCTTTGGAAATACTATACATGATAGTCCCATGCTCTCCCACATGAGGCACAGTCGTTCCGGCCGTTGAGGATACGATAATTATGCGAGAAGGGGAGACGTGAGTGCCAGCGCGCTCCAATAGAGGCGCGAACCTGATGGTTTTAGTACATGTGCATCTGGCTGTTCTCATTTCTCACGCACAGTCTGCAAAGATTGAAAACGCCACGGACGTTCAAATCCAAAACCTTCTGACTCGCCCAGTCTGGCGTGGGATCGAAAGGGCCACCCCAAGTGGCTCCCGCATTGCACACGAGAATATCCAACTTGTCATCGGTCTCCTGCACCTTTCTTACCAATCTCTCTATGTCCTCAGTATCCGCGACATTAGCGGCGGTGCCGACTGCAATTCCAGCAACAGGCAATTTGTTGAGTTTATCGACGGCTTGGTCAATACCCTGTTCTCCTTCATTCTTACGTGCTGAGATGAAAACCTTTTTTGCTCCAGCGAGAAGAAATGCAGTCGCCGTGTGCAGACCCAATCCCCTAGAACCTGGTAATCTGAGTAAGATTGCAAGCCAAGAAATCTTGTTGGACTTTACCTCCTGTGACTAAAGCGACCTTGCCGTCAAGACGGAACATGCGGTTGAAGTCCTTGATATCAGACATGGTGAATTTCCCCAAGTAGAAGCAAACTACAGAAAAGCGACGGAGAAATAGATTTTCAACATGTCATACTTGATAAGGTGAGTACTAGACCAAGATAGACAGACCCTGAAGAGCTCGGTCAGTGGAGTCCGATAACCAGGTACTTACTTACCCTCGGTAACAAGGTGTGCGGTCTGTGCGGTCCGGGGATCCCGCAGATGCTCTAGTGAGGTGGCGGCTGCAGCCAACAAACCAAGTAGTTCTGGGACTGGAGTATTGACCTAGTAATGTAAGCCTATTTTCTCCTACCAATCTCTTTGATCCCTCATTTCTACATAAATTTCATAGACTACATTGAACCGACTGAGCGCGCATCCCGTTGTCATCCGCCAAGATGCCTTATTCGTCACCTTTCCCCGCATTGACCATCCCGAAATGCAATGTACTGCACTATCTGTTTCCTCAAGAACAGACTCCCTCTGATACACCGCTCTGGATCGATTCAAAAAACACAGAGCGCTACCTTACACCACGGTCCATGCTACAATGGACCAAAAGATTGGCGGTCGGCTTAGATCGAATTGGTAGCAAACCAGGAGAAGTTGTCATGATCTTCACGCCAAATCACATCTTTGTCCCAGTTGCATATCTTGGAATAGTTGGATCAAAGCGTATATTCAGCGGTGGCAACCCAGCCTATACCCTCTCGGGTAAGGCTTTTGCATCACGTGTTTACCGTGATGGGCTAACAGATCTTAGAGATGGTACACCAGGTCACCAACACCCAGGCCCAAATTCTTCTCGCACATCCCAGTTTGATAAAAGTGGCAGTGACAGCCGCCAAGAGGGCTGGTTTGCCAGAAGGCCGTGTCTTTCTGTTTTCCGACGAGCCTTGTGCACCAATCGAAGGGTGTAGAGATTGGAGAGAATTCCTTCCATCACAGGCCGAAGTGAAAGGCTACGAGTTTCCCACTTTGTCAGAACATGAAGCAAATACTACCACGGCAACAGTAAACTTCTCATCTGGCACTACCGGGCTGTCCAAAGGTGTCGAAGTGAGCCATTTCAATTTGGTTGCCAATACTGAACAAACCATCTTCATGCGATCTGCCAACAAACCCTGGACCGCTGACAAACGACCCGCTGAGAGATGGGTCTCCTTCTTACCATTATATCACGCCTATGGTCAGCTGTATACTATGATGATGGCACAGAAACTTCAGGTCCCGTGTTACATCATGCAGAAATTTGAATTTACCGAGTTTCTAAGAATCATCCAAGACCACAAGATAACGCACCTCCACCTCGCTCCTCCCATCTTGATCATGCTGAGTAAGAGACCGGAAACTAAGAATTATGATCTGAGTAGTGTGACGGATATCTTGTCCGGTGGAGCACCGTTGTCAAAGGAGCTCCAGAATGAGATAACTAAGATGCTAGGTTGTGAGATCATACAGGGCTGGGGTATGACTGAACTTACTTGTGCAGGAACGCAAGTAACTGGTGGCACGATAGATGAGTAAGGCAAATATATAATCAACCCGAATACTGCTAACATTCAATAGTTCCGGAAGTGTGGGCAACTTGGATCCAAACTGCGAGGCCAAGCTTCTCGACGATGACGGCAATGAGGTGCCCGAAGGCCAGCCCGGTGATCTCTACATCCGTGGGCCACAGGTCTTTCTGAGATACTGGCGCAACCCTGAAGCTACGAGAGAAGCATTGTCCCCAGATGGCTGGTTGAAAACTGGCGACGTTGCTGTCGCGAAGAAGGGGTGGTTTTGGATTGTAGATCGCAAGAAGGTAACTAAATACCGAGCAAGAATAAACTACGTCTCAGTTAGGTACTAAGATGACTGCAGGAACTAATCAAAGTGAATGCTTTACAAGTTGCGCCTGCAGAACTCGAGGCAGTGCTACTCCAGTTTGATCCCGTTGCCGATGCAGCTGCTGTGGGAATCACAATTGATGATCAAGAGTGGCCCCGCGCTTATGTTGTGCTGAAAGAGGAGTACAAGGGCAAGACGACTGTGGAGGATATTCATAAGCACATGAAGGAAAAGGTGGCAAAGCATAAACAGCTTGTGGGCGGTATTGTATTCGTAGATGAAGTGCCGAAATTACCATCGGGCAAAATTGTCAGGAAGCTTGTCAAGGAGTGGGCTAGAAAGGATGCGGAAAAGATGAACAAGGCCAAGTTGTGAAGAAGGCATTGTCGATTCTGGAAAGATACTTCGAAAAGACAGCTCAGTATCTCCAATCTTGCCGATAAGTCTGCACTATACATGATTGGTAACATGACTTTCCCCTCCACCTAGCACTCAAAACACAACAACCTGCCTTTTCTCCGCCAAACCATTTTGCATATCCTCCACCATCTTTGGCAAGTCCTCCAATTTACGATACTCGACTTCAGGCTGTATAACATGCTCCCCGGTAAAATCCACCGCCTTCTTCATCCTTTGCGGAATACTCGTACTCTCAGCCTTGATCCTATACCGGCCTGTTGTCAGATCAAACGCAGTGATGAAATCAAAGCCTTTCTGTGGAATTCCGACGATCATGAGCAAACCTCCTGTGCGTAAGAGATCTGGTGCGCCGGCATACGCCACATTTGAACCGGAGTAGACAGCCGCTGCATGGCACCCCTTTCCACCTGTAAGTTTCTTGATCTCATCCACATAGTTTGGATTTGTTTTAGAGTTGAAAGCCGCGTCAGCGCCGAGTTTCTTTGCCATGGCAAGTTGAGAGTCGTTTATGTCGAGGGCGATAGTTTTGATACCCATCTATACGAATTCAATCAGTCTTCTATTCAGCTCTCTCTCTCTTTCTCGAAAAAAAAATCATAATACAACACAAGAAGTAATGAAAACAACATACCGCTTTAGCATACTGCACAGCATACTGCCCCAACCCCCCACACCCTACAACCGCCAGCCACATACCCTTCTCCAACTCACACGAATCCACACTATGAAACGCTGTAATTCCCGCGCAAAACAGCGGCGCCGCCCTCTTCATCTCAAGGTTCTCAGGCAATTTAACCGCATTCATCCAATCCACAACCGCGTACTCTGCGAAGAACCCATCCGCCACAAACCCTTGCAGCTTCTGTTTCCCCGTCTCGCACCGCAGATTGTGCACTTGGCAGCCATCGCACGTGAAGCAGCAGCCGGTAAAGTAATTGAAGCCGATGGCATCGCCAACGGAGAAACCGTGGCCTGAGGCTTCGGAGCCGAGATATTCAATGTGTCCGACGCCTTCGTGGCCCAGGGTCACGGGGTAGTCTGGGCGAAGGCTCATTCCAAGGTCGGAATGGCATAGTGATGCTGAGTGGATTTTGACAAGGAATTGGTATGATTCTGGTGTGGGCTTGGGTATGTCGTTGACGACGACTTTTTGTTGTTTACTTATATGGATCTGAGAATTTGTGGAGAAGGGGGGAAATAGAAGGACTTACGGGTCCCATTGGCCGGCTTTCATGATTGCAGTCTGTTCCTTGACGTTTTGGTCGTCAAGACAATATTCTTTTGGGTGCTATGTTGGTTGTTCTTCCAGCTATATTTGTAGCTAGACAAGTTCCATTTGTTGCCGTAATTCCGCACGACTGACTAGTCTGTCATGGGAAGCCTGCAAGTGATATGACGAGTCATCATGGTATTTCGGAACGCTACTTGCTGACTTTCAATCATTGAGTACAATCAGCGGAAAATTAGGTCCGATATCATAAACTAGCGGCCATTGGTTGGGTGCATTGGGTAGTGTCTGCTTGACGGGAGTAGGAAGCGGGGTTGAGAGTTGCGGATAGTATCACTGCTTGGAGGTTTTCCGATCGGACTACAGCATGCTCGTTCCGGAAATAGTGTTTTTCGTCCCAGTAGAAGAGCGTTCCTTGCACCAACATCAAGTAAAAAGCCTATTGTTTGGCCAGTAGTGTGAATTTGCTTGACGACCGATTTGCTTGGTACAGCTTGTGAGTCCCCCGTGTTTCGCTTGAAGAACGCTGTAGTATGCGACTATTTTTACATATGAAACATGAAAACAGCTACCTATGCTAGAACAAACGTCACTCCTTCCACCATTTGATCAAAGAATTTCTTCCTCGGCTCATCAAGCTTCGAAGATGGCCAAGCCATAAAGAAGTGCGGGTAGCCTTCATACATGTCGAGTCGATTGGGTACACTGGAGAATCATTAGCACACTAGTCAAAGAAGCACATGCTGTACGTACTCTGCTTTATCAAGCTTTTCTTTCATAAGCAAGCCATCATCTCTCAGCGTATCGTGTCCTGAAACGGCAAGGTATACCTTCTTCAAATCTTTGATCCTAGAATGCAAGAGGGGAGAACCATAAGGATCGGTTGGCGGCGGACCAAAAGCGTCTGCCTGATATTAGTACTTCAAGTTGCTGGAATTGAGTTCTTCATGTTACCCCAGAAAGCCCGCATTGCTCCTGCGGTGTTGATAGTGTGCAGGTCATGTTCCTCCATAGCTGTATACTTAGCTTTGAACTCCTCCGGCACCCCATCTGGATGGACCGTTGCCGGCATAAGAGCAATAACACCCACGAGCTGCTCTGCTAGTCCGTCATCTATAGCCCTCAATGCGGTTCCCAATGCGAGCTGTCCACCAGCTGAACAACCCGCCGTAAAGAACTTGCCCTCAGCCGTATTCAGCCGCTGTGAATTCCGCAATGCCCATTTCAGAGCCTCATAACACTCGTTCATTAATCCCGGGTGCGCATTCTGGGGCGCAAGTCCATATTCAACGGAAATAACCACTACGTCTCCTGCTTTTGAAACAGCTCTGCTAAGAAGATCATCGCCGTTTATATCTCCCATGGCCCAGCCTCCGGCATGATAGTACATACAAACCGGCCTGTCACCTTTGTACGATTCAGGTGTGTATATGCGTAGCTTGAGCCCTTTTTCCGTCGCAGTATCCTCTGTCTGAACAGAAGGATCTGGCGCAGGGAATGCGTATTTGTCTACCATCAATCCTCCTATACGTGTATATTGTTGGAAAATATTCGAGAGAGGCGGCTCCAGATTTATGCGCTCTCCGAATTCCTCTTCGAACTGAATATCGGTCACTATGAATTATATGATCCATTACTAGGTCCGTACAAACCTCTAACCATGGCTTTGCAAAACCCTCGTTAGTCATTACTCTTGAATTGAGATTGATCTGTCGTTATCGTTGAGATGTAAGATTGATTGTTTGAATCCGCAGAAAACGGACCTCTTTGAAAGTAAGTATGTATATCCACGCTAATCCATATCCAGGAGGCACCACTACATCAGCGGTGACTTTTCCGTCTATGGAGAAATGGCATTTTCACAGTGATGGAACTAGACTGCCAAGTGCCGTATCTGTAGAGTCCGTTCTCTATTCATAGCGTAATGGGCAAGTTCAGCATCAAGGATGTTGCTCATGTCATGAGTAAGGAAGCGTAGCACAGGTAGCGCAGTCTCTGTGCGGGGGCGGGACTCCACCTCCGTTCTCCACCTTCACGCCTAAACAATTCCGAAGAATCCTGCCAGACTCCAAAACTTCAAAGTAGCCTCGGCTTCGACCGAGCACGCCGCTAACGCGTCTTTTGGTATGCATGCAACATGCAACAGCGAGTCATGACTTTCGATTTACACGTTCAAGTCGCGTCTTTTCACTCTTCCCGTGACGCATGCTTGTATCGTAGATTGCACACATGTCACCCTCAGCATCCTCAACCATGAACATAGACATCAACAGTCATCCAGCCTTCTCGCACATACCACCATGGGTCAAAGCAAAGCTGCGTCCCATCGCAATCTCAAAGATACACCAAGTATACGAATGGGTCGAGACGGAGTGTATACCAGCAGAGCGCATATACAAAGCCCAACTCAGCGCAAGCAAGACGAGATGGGAGACTCCGGCCATCATCCACGAGCTGCGAAAAAAGGCAAAGGCGCAAGGACTATGGAATCTATTCCTACCAAACCACTTCGTTGAGAGTCCTGGGTTAACGAATTTGGAGTATTCATGCTGCGCAGAGATAATGGGAAGAGTGTATTGGGCAGCGCAGGTAAACTCAAGCTTCCCGAACTCCCACATACTTGGTAACAAAGCACATTTCTGAGCTTTTTTTTAACAGACCATGAACTGCCATGCCCCGGAAACCGGCAACATCGAACTCCTCGCAAAATACTGCACCCCATCTCAAAAAGAAAAATGGCTCCATCCCCTCATGAACGGTGACATGTCCTCGGCCTACAGCATGACAGAACCCAACGTTGCCTCCTCAGACGCCACGCAAGTTGGCATAAAAATGGAAATCACAGACAAAGAAGTCATCATCAACGGCCGCAAGCTCTACGGCAACTGCCAATACAACCCGGAAATGCAACTTTTCATTCTGATGGGATGCTCCGACCCATCCAACCCTAATCCCTGGAACAGACACACAACGCTCGTTGTGCCCGCCAATTCCCCGGGGCTCCGGCAGATCAGAAATCTCAGCATAATGGGCTACGACTGGGCGCCCGAGGGCCACGGCGAATACGTATACGACAATGTGCGGGTGCCCCTCGAAAACATCATTTTAGGTCCCGGCCGCGCCTTCGAAATCGCTCAAGGGCGACTAGGTCCCGGTCGTATACACCACTGCATGCGGCTCATCGGCCAAGCCGAACGCGCCTTCGAACTCGCGCTCGTGCGATGCATGGAGCCACGCAAGAAGCCGCGGGGCAAGTTCATCGGCGAGTTTGACAGCAATATTGAGCGGATAGCGGATATGCGCATGACGATCGACGCGATGCGGCTGGTCGTTCTCAACGCAGCGGATACCATGGATCTACAGGGCAATAAGGCGGGCAAGTATGCGATTGCGCAGAGCAAAATTATGGTGCCGAATGCGCTACTGAAGGTTATCGACGAGGCGATGCAGATGTATGGTGGGCAGGGGCTCACGCAGCATACGCCTTTGCCTGAGATTTGGACGTATGCGCGGTTTGTGAGGGTTGCTGATGGGCCGGATTCGGCGCATAGACATCAGGTTGGAAGGGATCAGATGAAAACGGCGCAGGAGTTTAGGGATAAGGCGAAGGGGTATACGGAGAGGTATAGGGAGTTGTGTAAGAAGTGGGAATTGGAGCCGGAGGAGTTTGAGGGGATATTGTAGACGACGTTTCTTCCCTTTACATCACTCATATCTTGTGTAAGTAATAAGAAGAGAGTAAGTTGCATAAGAATAATGTAAGAGTATTGTTTCTTCTAGTCGTTGAAAGATAAGAAAAGGGTATCATATCCAAAGCCCAAAACAGTAGTTCACATTGGCATCATCCACACGTGCCCCGGTTTCGTTATTCATACTGCGATGGGCGGCGACCCAAAGCTTAAATTATCGTCATCGTCAAAAAAAGATGCCGCTTCTTGAGTCGACAGGATAAAGTTGTCAAATGAGGTTTTTGTCGCTGTCGTGGCAGCCGGCTTCGGGATCAAGGCGGGGTGCGATTCGACCGCGCATTGCTTTTTTGCCGGCGGTGCATGCGTTTTGGATGGCGCTGTAGTGGCTCTCCGCTTTGCATTAGGCAGAGACATTGACTTTGGTAACTGTGAAGCTCTGAGCTTTGCAAGCTCAGCATCAAGACCTGTTGCAAAAGGCCCTGGATTCCAACATTTTCCAGCTATTTTTTTATTAGACATCGGAGGTCTGCTGATGTTCGTGGCTACAGATGAGCGTGCTGGCGTATGTGTAGACGTTATGATAGGGTTACACTTCAATGGCACAGCTAATGGCTCCACCTGCGGTGGTGCAGGTGCAACTTGAGTCTTCTTGTGGGTTTGTGGAAAAGGTGCTCTCTCTGGAAGTGCTATTGGTATCATTTTCGACGTTACAGGAATGGTTTGGAGTTTTGATTGATTAGAGACACTATGAACAGGCTCGTCATCCAGATCGTCGAGGGAGAAGTTTAGGTCTTGGGTGGACATTGGGGGAAGATCGTCAACGATAGAAGGTGAAGTGGCAATAGACGTCGTGTTGGTTTCGATGACCTTGGGTTTTGCTTCAGAGGCGATTTCACGCGAAATTTGCGTACTGCTTTCAAAGAAGTCGTCCCAGCAATCGGTTGGTGCTGGTGATGCACGTGTCTTTGAGGATGTATCTACAGCAGTTGTTGTGTTCAAAATGTTCGACAAGGTTGATTTTGACGCTGGAAGACCGGGAAGCTTGAAGTCTGGATTCAAATTCACTTGAGACTTTGACCGTGGCCCTGGTGGTGTTGTCTTTCGGGATAAACTAGGAGGCGGCATTCGACCCGGAATAGAAGGTAACTTGAACCCAGCTTGCGGTGTTTCCCGTGGCGGTTGAGATGACGTATAATTAATGGTGACGCAAATGGGAAACTGTGTCCGTTGAAATGGGTATTGGTCCAAGTTCCTGTATTTTGCGCGGAAGGGAACTCGAGTAAGGAATGTTTTGGTGCCTTTTAGTCGTCCATCCAAAACCAAGCATTCCAGCCGGTCATTCTCAGATCGCAGAATACGAAGATGTTGACTCTTCGATAGCTGACTGCTTGTATGCAAGTCTCTAAGCAGAGTAACAACACATCCAACTTTGAGACGTAGGCGATGCGGCGGTAGTCCAACAGGATTTAGTTTATGCAATAGCCCTAGAGCCGGGTCCCATTCGAGCGTCTTCAACGAGACGTCTTGGGAGAGGAATTCTATCAGAGGCCCAGCAATTTTATCCAAGGTAGCCTCTAATGTTTTATTTATGGGCCCATGGGTGCGGGTAAAATCGGGGTCCTCTTTGACGGGACCAGGCTTTGGCGGAATCGAGGCGGGTGGCGGGCCTGGTGTGACTTGAGCGATAGGCTGTGGTGGCGGTACATTCGCAGGAATTTCCTCAGCTGAATCTGACATGACTAGGTTGTGTGCTTCCAAAAGAGAGTCATCGTCCAAGTCGTCATCCGCCCATTGTTCGCCCAATGAAGCATTCGACTGTGGCAGGTCAAGGTCCTTATTCTCGTCTTCCTCGTCGTCATCCCATGGCTCCTTTTCCAGATTGGAAACCGCTTCCTCTAACTTCCTTGTAATTTCTAACTCCTTTTTGCGTTTTTCGTTATCATTTCCCTTTTTGTTCAACCCAAGAAAAGCTTCCATCCCATTTTTCAGCTGCGCCTGAGTGTGGCTGTACCCAATCAACTGTGTTGCCAATCCAACCCCGAGTTGTTTTCTGGCTGCAGCTTCCTTTGCTTCTTTTTCTGTGCGTTTCTTTTTCGCGGCTTTACGGCGCTCTTCGGCCTCTCGCGCATAGGTGGCCCGCTTGTTCAACTCCAATTCGCGCTCCAGCTGCTTCCTTTGCCGCTCACTGAGAACTGGGCCATTTTTTCGATGCTGCCGCTTGACTTCGGTCGAAGTTTGCGCGATTCTGTGCGGGGTTGGTGTCATTGTGGGGTGCGCATCGCGCTGATGAGGGAAATGTGGGCAAGGGCATGGGAGTGTGGCGGTGGATGTTTTGCATGGCCGCGCTAGCGACACGAAGTCACGTGCATTGGCGGTGGCCATACTTGCAACCAACAACCCCTTTTCGTGATCTTCCAAGGCAGTTTCAGATGGAAATTTTACAGGAACTTTGAAATCAGTGTTAACCAAACATCTTGCATAGTACTGGAACCGCTATGTACGCGAAGCTGCTGTCACACCACACGGCCAACTTCAATTCATCCTGATAGACCGCCTCTTTCAGACCTACGTAGCTTTGATAATCATCTTACACCTACTCCATGTGCAATGAAATAAACAACTGACATGCATCAGGCCAGGCTCATTCAGGCTCATTCAGGCTCACAATCAGCGGGAAATGAACATCCGACCTTCCCCAAAACACACCTACCCCGCGCGCGAGCCGCCCGAGCTGCAGCTTATAAGATGCTAGTCCTAAACCAGTAGCGGGGATGTAGTGAAGACAGACGGGGAAACGATGGCTTGTACACATGCTGGAATTCAATACTTTTACAAAAGCGCGTAATTTGCAACTTTACACTAATCTTGTTACCATGTCATTCATCTTGAAGGGAGTTGCATATATTACTGGTGCTGGCTCTGGTATGCCCAGCAGACTAATGCGTCAGACCTCGTGATTCCCGTGGCTAACACGATCAAGGCATCGGACAGCACACTGCGTATGCTCTTGCAAAGCAGGGAGTACGCTCATTCGCCCTCGTCGATCGCAACCCCGTATCAAAGACAGTCGGCGAACTAAACAAAATATCGCCTAACGTCTTGGTCAAGGAGTTCGAGTTAGATGTTACCGACGAAAAAGCTGTTGATGATAGCATAGAAAAGACTGTCAAAGAATTCGGTAGATTGGATTACGCGGTCAACAATGCGGGAATCGGCGGCATGATCAAGACGTCGGATCAAATACCAAGAGACCACTTCGAGAAGGTCATGTCTGTGAATACGATTGCTGTCTGGCAATGTCAGCGCGCGCAGATCCGACAGATGCTGAAGCAAGACAAATTGTCAGACTCTTATCGCTCTTATCGGGGGTCCATTGTCAACGTAGCATCCATGTACGGTGTAGCAGCACCACCGCTTAATATCCCGGCTACAGCATACGCTACAAGCAAACATGCAGTTGTCGGTCTGACCAAATCTGATGCACTCACATTCGCCCACAAAGGCATCAGGATCAACGCCATATCCCCTGGATATGTGCTGACGCCGCTGGTCCAGGAAACCATGAGTAAAGGCGACATGATGGAGCAAGAGAGGTTGAAGGTTCCAATTCATCGCTACTCAGAAATGGAAGAGATTGGCGATTGCATCGCATTTCTGCATTCCGATGCGGCTAGTTACATGATTGGGGCCAACTTAGTTGCAGATGGAGGATACACAGTCCTATAGAGTGGCGGAAGTGCATTCATCCAGTCCTTGGCCGACCATTGAATCATGCAATACCATATCTTCTGTATATATACGAAAATTCTTTGCCAATAACGTTCGCCAAAGTCGGGGTCATCTTGGCAGACTTGTTTTCTCCGCCCCAACTGGAGTACGTAACTGCTAGCTCCACTCCACTTGGAGATTTATATTTGACAAAATACCCCGACAAATCTATCCTGCTGACTTTTCAGGGCTTGCATGAATCGCCAAAAGTTTTTTCGGTCCAGCTTTCAAGGGTCAGTTTTCGAGTTGCCGTGTCATGCAACCATAACCTGACCACGGAAATCGTTTGCCACGTCATGCTTCACGGCGTTACTTGCGTCTTTCCTCCTTATTACGAGTCATCCACACTGAATCATCATAATGACCCGGTATGAATTCACATCCACTTAGCCGAACCCCAGATTTCGACGCATGACTCGCCCGACTCGAATTGTGGGGCGATCGCATGCCTGACTCTTTGAGCGCAGGACATTGTAGTCCTGTCGCAACAATACTAGAGCTTAAAAACCTGCATATCTCCAGTCAAAGCCATTGATCATCTTGTTTTTCTTCAAAGTTTCTTTGTCAAGTCATATAGCCCCTTCACGAAATGGCAGACGGATTTATCATCCCATCATCAGCCAGTCCGGAATCGGATGCTCGATATCGATTACAAGGACCAATTCACGCGCAGCGTCATGTCCGCGTTATATGTATCGGTGCCGGCGCTTCAGGCCTCCTGATGGCATACAAGCTGCAAAGACATTTTTCCAACTACAGTCTCCAAGTCTACGAGAAGAATCCGGAAGTGTCCGGAACTTGGTATGAAAACCGATATCCGGGGTAAGTACCGGCTAAGATCTTGAGTGCGGGGACGATGCTACTCTAGCCCCACAACTAGCCCTTACCAGCCTATCTATGGAAGCAAAACGATTGCTGATTTGCACTTGCAGATGCGCATGTGATGTGCCTTCTCACAATTATACGTGGTCTTTCTTTCCGAAGCTGGACTGGTCGGCAGTCTACGCCAGTTCCAAAGAGATCTACACATACTTCAACGACTTTGCATTAAAATTCGGACTCCACAAATATGTCAAGACCCAACACCAGGTCATCGGTGCACAATGGAACCAGCAAAAAGGAGGCTACAATGTGCGAGTCAAAGAACTCGAGACTGGCCGGGTTGTGAATGACCATTGTGATATTTTAGTGAATGCTGGAGGTATTCTGAACAACTGGCAATGGCCTGCAATACCAGGTCTGGAAAAATACAAAGGCACACTACTGCACACTGCGAACTGGGATGAGAGTATTGATTTGAGAGGCAAGAACGTCGGTCTTATTGGAAATGGGTAAGTCTTCTTTGCTTTCTAATACCTAGCATACGTTAACCACACCAAAGCTCTTCCGGCATCCAAGTTCTTCCAACAATCCAACCATATGTAAAGAAAGTGACAACATTCATCAGAGAGCCAGCTTGGGTCTCTCCTGTCCAGGGTCTTGAGCAACACATCTTCTCTGACAGTGAAAAACTAGCATTTGCTACACAACCCGGGGTACTGCACGATTACCGCAAGAATATCGAGCGAGGCCTCAGTGGCCAATTCGGCCTCTTCCTCAAAAATACAAACATACATAATGAAACTGAAGCCTACATCCGCGAGCAAATGTCGGAAAAGCTACAAGACGAATACCTCAGGGAGCGCCTAATTCCAAATTGGCAAGTCGGCTGCAGACGACTAACACCCGGTGTGGGCTACCTCGAGGCCCTCGGCAAACCAAATGTTCAAACAGTATACGGTGAGATCAACGAAATAACTGAGCGCGGCTGTCTCTGCGACGACGGAAACGAGTACCCCGTCGACGTCCTCATCTGCGCCACCGGCTTCAACACATCCTTCAAGCCACGCTTCCCCATCATAAACCCCTCCGGAACCAACCTCCAAGACGCCTGGGCCAAAGAGCCACGCTCCTACTTCGGCCTCGCCGCCGCCGACTTCCCCAACTACCTAATCTTCCTCGGACCCAACTGCCCCATTGGCAACGGACCAGTCCTCAGCGCCATCGAAGCCCAGGCCGACTACATGTGCAAGCTCATCGACCGCTTCCAAACCCACAACATATCGTCATTCGCACCAAAAGCAGACGCCGTCGATGATTTCATCGCCTTCAAAGACGAGTTCATGAAGAAAACAGTATGGAACGATCCCTGCCGCTCGTGGTACAAATCCCTCGGCCCCGACGGCCCCATTACCGCGCTCTGGCCCGGTTCAACGCTGCACTATATCGAGGCGCTGATGGAGCTCCGCATGGACGATTGGGACGTCAAGTATACGGGTAATAGGTTTAGCTGGCTGGGCAATGGGTATTCACAGACGGAGATTGATCCGACGGCTGATTGGGCGTTTTATATCCGTGAGCAGGATGACGATGAGCCGATTTCGCGGCTGAGGAAGCTGAGGATTCTGAATAAGAGTGGGACGGTGGTGCCGTCAGATGGGTTTGATTTTACGGGGGCAAGTAATAAGCAGAGTGCGGTGGCAGGGGAGGCGAAGTTGTGAGGGGTGGGGGCTAGAATGCTGGGGTTTTATGTTTGTATGATTTATAAGTGGTGGTTTAAGAAGAATTTCATGGGATTCTGTGTCGAGTAGTCATTCTTATTGTTCAAAAAATGGTTTTGATATGATAACAGGCTCTTGGCAACAGTTTATTTTAGTTCACTGTACAAATGGCTAAGCATTTGATGTTGTACAGTGTCAATGAGCGTGTATAGTGGTTTTGTGGAAAGGGCAGCGCTGGGTAGCAGCTGTACGATCTGGCATTACTTCAATGTATAGGGATAGATAATGTGGGTGGCATATCTGATACTTCATGGTTTACCCTGAATCGAGGCTCCTGGCTATAGTAGACTAGCTGCCGGATCTTCCACATGCGTGCAGCCCCAAGTGGAATGTACTTCAAGCACAGCAAGAGCGCATGAACAAACGAGCAGTGCCATCACATACATTCTATCAGTCTAGAAGGAGACACTTGTGCCTTCTATCTCCAGACAGGAAAAATGAATAAATCTCTCAAACAAAGAAAGCCATAACAAGTCCATTCTCACACATCCAAACCCAGTCTTTCCTCCATTACCCCCCAAAGCGTAAACGCCTCCACCCACATCCCACCAACCTACTGTATCACCATGTCATACCAACACGTGTCCGGAAGATCCGGATGGCACTTACTGATCGCGCCGTGAAACATAGTGATACTCCGTTTCCGTCTTGGTCTGCCACTCAATCTTCTTTACCGTCGTCGTCACCCTTGTCATCACCAATTCCAACCTCGGAATGGTTCTCGCAATGGTAGGCAGTGCGGTTACGGTTGATATGCTTCTAGCGATGCTAAGGCCAGGACGCCGGATGCCTGGGGCGAGCTGTGCGGGATTGAGGGGTGTGGGCATGACTTCGCCGAGTGGGGACTGCGTGGCGATGACGGTGCGGGTGGGGTGTTTGTCGAGGAAGGGGTGGGGGTGCCAGAAGTTGAGGAGGAAGGGTGGTCGCTTCGCAAAGGTGGTGGGGACAGTGGGTGTGGGTGCTACCTCTTGAGTGTCGAGGCTGCGTGTGGGTTGTGCCTCTTTGTCTTGAGGGCTCATGGTGGCTGTGAAAGATGGCTGGGAATTCCTAGAATTCGCAATGGTGGTTTTGAATGTGGCACTTTCCATGCTGGTACTTGGATGTGATGCCATCTGAGCCCCAAAATAAGAGCTAGTAGACGATACAGGAGGTAGTGAACTTGACGACTCGTGCATGGTCACAGCTACATTGTGCTTTCTCTTCCTCAACTGAACCCTTGGCTCTGAGTCCTTCAGGGATCTCCCATTCAAGTAACTGTATGGTACTGTTCCAAACTCTCTAAGTACCTTTGACATTGATATTATCGCGCTTTGTGCAGCCTCTTTAATTTTACCACCGATGGGCGTTGCAAACTCCAGGGATTTAATAGAAATCTCGGCAAACATTCCCACCATAGCGGTCGCATTCTCGGTCTCGTGCCATTGTGCGAGATTGATCCTCGCGTCTCTGTGCGGCAGTCGCGACAAAGCGTTGCAGCTCAGCTTATTGAATTCCCTCAGTGATTTCGTCGCGTTAGGCTGGTGAGCTGCAATTGAGGCAAATTGCGTTGTTTGAGACGTCAAGTCGCTCAATAGACGTCCAAAAGTTCTTTCCAGATTTTGAGAGTGGTCGACGTATCGGAGGCGTGCTTCCAATTGAGATACGAACTGAACTGTGTCCACTGCATCAGTACCCAAGCCGGTCAAAAGCGCGTTAGTAAGTTTATTGAATCCAGCATTGAGTGCTGTATTGAGTTTTTTTTCATCGATCCTAGCCTTCTTCTTCTTCTTCTTCTTTTTCATCTTCTTCTTCATCTTCTTAACCATCTCAGGGTTCAGGGCTTTGCAGACCGATTTTGAGAATCCGACAACGAAACCATTTCCGAAGATGTAGCTTGCGCCGAACTCGAGCACATCACTCGTCTGAGGAACCTTCTCCATCTTCGTTATCGATGACTCAATAATCTCTGTACAGACAAGAGCTGGGGAGACTAAGCTGCTGTTCTTTGGATGGCGGATGAAAGATTTGACTTCATCTTCAGGAACCAAAAGGGCAGCCAGGTACTCGCCTGCTTTTTCTCCTGGTAACTTGCCGATGGGGTTTATATCGGGCCAAAGTCCATAGTCTAAGGGTTCGAATGCACCCAACAACTCGACCAAGACACTTTGTGCTGCCAGCCAGATAACAGGGGTTTCTCCAAGAGGGGGGTGCATCAATGATTGATACTCGATGCGCCAGTCGGGAAACGGGTCGAATAGACCTGGATCGTTATTCTCTGCACTGACTTTGCCCGTGAAGGCGAGGAATGGAAGGACATTGCAGGCGAAGCGTATTATTTTCGTCATGCCAGATACGAGGTGTGATTTAGAAGTCGAATAAGTGCATGAACACGGCGGAAATTCAGAGCGGAACCTTGTATACTAATAACTTTGATAAGATATAATTACAGACTTTAATATATACACAATCGGTACCAAGTTGGATCAATTGTCGCTAGAAAGGACTGTGACGCAGGGCATGGACGTTTTAGGCCTGTGAGCGTAATTATGTCAAACGTATCCCTAGTTTAGGACAGACTCAACGGACCTTACCTGGGACCGAGGGTCTCTGTCATGAGAGTGGCTTGAATAGACTCGCATTGACCGCTCCTATTGAGATGTTTTACCAAGAAAATGCGTATACAATCTTTGCATACAACAACGTTCAAATTGTAATTACCAGTTAGCTAGGTGGTTCAGGGTGGCAATTCTGTTGGCATAGACCCGTGTTGAGCAAAGAGGGTCATATGTGGAGACATCATGAAAGGAAGGGAGGATACCAGGGGCTCGTTGATCAAAAGCAGCGTAACAAATCTACCGCAATTCTATCACCGCACTCCTATCCTGCAGCTACACCACCACCCAGTAAACTCATGCCATACTGTAGGAGCAACGAAGAGAGACTTGTGCCACGAAATCAGTAGTATCAGGAACAGCAAATACGTGTCGATGGGCTTTGACACGCATCTCACTTATCGCGTATGGCAAGAGCACAGACCCGGCTCAACCGTTACTCGACGGATGTGATGAATTTAACATGGTTTGGCGAAGGGGAACAGTCCCCACCGCACGGATCGGAGCGGGACCTAATGCAAACAGAGGGTAAGTGTGGGGAGGTCTTGGCATACAGGTGCAAGTCGCCCCTGAGTTCGGCACTTCGCTCACTGTGTCCCTGCATCCCCAGCCACGTCGTGTTGTCATCTCACGTACTTTCAAGGCACAGGGATACAAGCTAGGAATCTTGAACACGGTAATGCGGATCATCCGTATAAGCCGGGAGTAATTTTGTTCTTTTAGCTAGCTACATACGATATCTGAAGTTCAGTCTCTCGAAGAGAATTAAATAGAAGAAGTGAACTATTACTTGCGTCATGTTGTATGTGAGCGTTTTGTCTTATTTCAAACTCTAAACCTAATAGCTATCCTTCTATGCAGATGAGGAGGGTGAAGGCGATGGTGAAGGCGAGGCATTAGGTCGTGGGCCTGGCCATCCTGCGTATCTACTATCTGGATCAGGCACCGTACCTTCGGCAGTCCACCTCCCGACAGGGGACGTCCAGTTCTGAATTGCCTCAGGGTTGACGCCCACGTCAATTGTTGCATACAATCCGTCCGCATAAGTTTTGCCAATCTTCGATACCTTCATGAAGGGGTCGTCATTGCTTGTATTAGCGTAGACAAAGAGCGGATCCTTGTCATTCAAAAGACGGAATTGTTTGTTCAGGTTGTAGGGATAGGTTGATTCGAGGTCGTCGAGGAAGTCCTGCTGGAAGTAAAATTGGCCAACGTGCGAGATGGTACCACCTGTGATGGTGTTGTTAGGAAGGAGTTTGGCGTCATGGTGAACAATAGCTAAGATCATTAGTTTTGAAGCATGGAGGTGCAAATGGGGAGTCTTACTGTGCAGATGATTTGTACGGCTGGCATAGTGTCCTGGAATGAGCGTAATGAAGGAAGCGGTGCCATGATGATTCGTCGGTTGTATGCCACGCAGGGCATTTGAAGCAAAGTCTGCAGAACCATCGCCGTTGGCAGTGGATTGCACGCCAGAGTAGATTCCAGTCACGTTAGTTCCCCACACCTCGATATAAGCACCTTCAATGGGCATGCAATTCCGTACGTCAATCAAATTGATGTCGACATGTGCTTTCGGGCCTATCTGGCCAGACAAGATATTCTGCCGAATGAGTTCACCAGAAACATCTCAAGATGCATTAGCAAAGATACTTTTCGGCTCCTGGATTTAAGAACTCACAGAAAGGGCCATCAGTTTGCTCGATATCGAGTGTGCATGCCGCCTTTTTCCCATAGCTCAATTCGACTTCTACAGGGTCGCGACGAACCAACTCGTGTGCTTGTGCAAAGCCGGCTTCGACACGCAGTTCATGGAGCCTATCCTCGCGCCTTTGGTGCTGCTCCCTGACCCACCCGGAATCTACAAGACTACGCTTGCAGTCTAGGATGCTTCGACGCTCCGGGTGATTGAGATGGGCTTGTCTTCTCAAGATATCCTTCTTGATATCGCCGTGTGCAAACGCAGTGGAAGCCAGAAAGGCAGCAGTGAGAGCTGATATCAGATGAACCATGATGGTAGTGCAGGATCTGTAAACGAGAACAATCTTCCTTCTATCATATCACGGCGTAGTTCGGTTATTTATATGTTTGGCCCTCTGTGCATTCTTTTCATTGAGTTTATGGAGGTGCAGATCGGTAACACCACTACCCAGCATTCGATCCTTACTCCGTGTAGTGCTTACTCTTGAATCATCGTTGAAATCTAATCCCGTAATCAGCCTCGCCGTGATTGGCAGTGGCAATTCCCAGCTCCCATGCACGTCCAGCGAATATACTGTCGTCCATTTATCATCTCACCTCGGCAGTTGAGAGTACGGCGAGCCGTAGTCGTGGTAAATAGAATGCTCTGTGAAAACTGCTGACTGTTGGGCATGAACAGGAGGCATCCGCTTAGTACTCGTGTTTGGACGCGGTTGCATAACTCCGTCCATGGATCAGGCACTCACAGTGTAAACTGAACGCGAAGACGAATGCGTGAAGCTGTGAAGACGTATTCTGCTTTGTTGTTGTCCGACATGTGGACGCTGCATCAGAAAGACCCGATGCAAAATTATAGATTTTACCCAAGTAGCCCTTTCCAGCCAAGCCGGATCGAGCTGGCCATCGGGGGCATATTGCCGGCATGCAACCAGGTAATCTTACAGTCGAATGGTCATAGTGATTTGTTTCGGAATGCTAATGGAAAAGGGGGACTGAGAAAGTACACATTATATAAGCATCAGGGTTGTTCGTGGCGGCTCACTCGGCACGGCTGGTGTCAGCATATGGACCGGGCTCGTAATGCTGGTAACTCTCGCGATCGCTGGGATAGATGCGCAATGTACTGGATACTCCGTGGAAACTGAATTTTGAGCATTTGTCATTGGATACAAAATATAATCAAGCCATGGAGTTTACCAATTGCATGTGCATTAGTGGGGTAACCGCCCAATCACGAAACTCATGGCGTATATGAGGACATGTAAGATTCACGTGCATCGGCACCGAAAGTAAACTGTGAGTTACCGACTCATACTTCACTTGTTACCAGGTCTCCAAGAGCACGCATGTTTCCAGGCTATCGTGATCAATGAGTATGCGGAAGCTGAGTTGGGACTTTTCTAGAGGGGAGAACCTGCTTGCCGTTCTTTTTGTTTTCATACAGATGTTCTTTCATCTGTTGAAAATCTAAAATTCTAATCGAAACTTGCAATGGAGAAATACTGCCATCTTTGTCACATCAATTGTGAATCTCTGATATGCCGTTGAATCGGGACTATAATGAGATGACGAATGTTTCCCTAGAAACATCAACCAGAAACCAGGTTGCAATCAGATCTGACTAATTTCCACGTATTTTCGAGATGACCTTCGTTCTTTTTGAAACGGGAAAAAAGCACAATGATACGTGCTGATGAATTGGTCCCGAGTTTAAGATGGCTGTAGAGCAAGTTGCTAGGCTGGGGACAGACACAGGAAAGTTACTTGTCACATGATGTTAATGCTTGGTAACCACAGTTCCACAAATACTATCTTGGGGTTCACTTAAACGCATATCGCTTTTGTTGACATCGAGTGTCTGGTTTAGTGATTCAATTTGATGCATTTAGAACCCCACTACAAATGATCGCCGCTCAGAATCAGGGCTCAAGGTACCGGAAGCAGATTTCAGTAAGCTTTGGACGCCAATTTTCTTGGAGACGATACTGAATTACTCAGAGACACCCGGAAGCTAGTGGCGGGGGATATTCAAGGCAAATGAAAAAATGAGGCATAGCTTTTCAGCGCCAATCACCAGAAGGGCCCTTACAGGATCTGCTCCTGGTAGTTTCATCTTGAAATCTAAGTACTGGGTGTTACTTTCGCTCAGCGTTGAATATGCTTCTAGGTAGATCTTTTGTTTTACCAGCGCTCGTTAGGCTGCTAGCTTTGCCGTCTCACCCGCTGATGGAACTGGAAATTCCACCCGCCAAAAGGTGGCCTTTCGAGTCGACCAGCAGAATCGCATACGTAGGCAATATTCCGCTGAACGTATGATGGAAAAGCTTCGCCCAGAACTCACGCGACATTCCGGTTGGATGAAAGTTGGATGATCAAGAGAGAATCGTGGATCAAGGGACAAAACTACCAAGGAACAAGCTTGGGGAACGCGCCGAACCTTATCGCACGTACCACTAGGGACAGATGGACTCGTAAAAGGGTCAGGCTTTAGATCTTGGTTAAGCGAGAATTTATTTTGTACAGTGCTATAGCCTACTTGGTCTAGCCCTGGCGTCCTTGGGCCATGTTCGGTTCCTGCTCCTGAACGATTGTCGCTTATGACGCCATGGCATCCTGTGTAAATGAGCAAAAAGAAATATTTCCATGCAGCTCTGGCAAAACAAGACATGGTGTACAAAAGCATTGTTGAACCAAAGAGCAACGAGAGGTGCGCTCCTTACCCAGGCAGCAATAGCGCTGTTTCTGATTCGTCACTTACTCGCGGCTAGCCATTCCTTCGTCGCTGACTGAAACAGCAACACCCAACCACTGAAACACGCAACGCAAGCACAATCCCGACACCATTGTCTTATATTGTTTTATCTACCGTGTCGCGCTCTGGAGATGGCGCTATGCAGGTGGAATAAAGCCTGAAAACCATCATCTGGCCAATAGCCATGCCAGTAGCAGCGCCCAGTATGCTTTGGCAGCCATGGGTAATCTTAACATCTTGCATGCTTACGAATAGGATGGCAGCAGTGTGAAGAGCCAATGTGTGATGATTGCAAATAACCGAGGAAACATTGCTTCTTTCCTGAAACCTCGAAATAGCTATTGAAGGCGGCGGACGCCAATTCTCTCGCTTGTCACTGTTTCTCTTCTGTCTCCTTTTGTCTCTAAAGTCGCCTCAGGCAATGGACACTCGCATCGATTCTCTGAATACTTCAAACCTCGACTATGCCAAATTTCTCAATGACTCCAAATCCTCAAAGCACTCCTCCAGCCACAAGGCAAATCTATCGGGCGCAACAATGCTTGACTTGCTTAGTGGCACTGAAGGTTCCATCGCTGCCGCGTATCAAACTTCGCATTCGAAGCCTCAGCCGTCGAGACCAAAGTGGCCTTCAGATGTCTCCTCGGGCAAGAATGAATTGCGACAAACAAATCGGATGCTGGTGGAAATAGTCCAGAACGCCCAACTGGAGCTCGCAACGCAAAGACAAACGATGCTCGACATGCAGTCGCGGATCCTCCAGCTCGAACAAGTCTTGTACAAGACCAACAGCAGTGCCCCAGGATCGTGCGCAAGCACCACCACTATTACCACTGCTACCACGCAACGAACAACTTCCCAACCCAAACCAGTAGAAGAAAAGATTCTCGTCAACCCAGCAGCCCAACAACAAACATCCGGCCTCTCCGTCACCCCCACCAACAAGCCCGAATTCTGGAAATCACCCAGTCGCTTCTCCGGCTTCAACTTCAACTTCGACCTCCTCGAAACCGTCCCAAGGAGCTCCAAACAATCCCAGTCCTCGCAATCGCAGAAACAACGACGAAAACACCAACCGAAACCCCCCTCCGACGCCCCAGAAGTCTACAAACCCTCCCGACCCCCAGCACCCCCCTCCAAGTCCCCTCGTAATACCACTACTACTACCACCCGCCAAGCCCCGCATAACAACCACCGCCCTCTGACCAAAAAATCTTCACAAGCAGCACTACTACTACTCCCCCGCCCAAACCTCTCCCACTACACCGACACAGCAAGCGACATAAAAGAACACATAGTCGAGTACGAACACGTCAAAATCCCCTTTCCACCGCTCCTCCATTCGCCGCCCAAGACCGCACGCAGTAAACTGGCGTCAACCGTGCAGAGCAGAGACGACGACTTGACGGCGTTGCCGCAGATGCCCCATCCTCCGGTACCTGCGGTGCAGGAGCATGTGGTGGCGAAGGTGGGCAGGAAGGGGATAAAGAATATGCGCATTAGTCGGTCTCTTTCGAAGAGTCTTAGGATGGATTGCGCGAATGGGATTGGGAGGCGCGCAAGCCATTTTAAGGTGCTTTGATCCAGGGAAAAAAAATTAATCAGAGAGGGGTTTATTTGCTTTTTTTTGGGAAATATGCGTATTGAGGTCCTAGAGACTTCCGCATTCTTGTACTCTACTATTTTCCTTTGTTTTTTTGTATTTTTACGAGACGATATCGCTCAGGTAAGCGTGAATGCGGCGTGCTACGACTACACAGTTTGTTTTTTTCCTAGAGTATGTTTCAATTGTTTATTTTGTTTGTATTATATCATATCCAACTGAATGAGAGGAGTACTATACAGCCCTATCGCAAGGCGCATGACACAACTACATCGAGACTAAATAAAACTTCCACCATCAAGGCGCAGCCAGTTATATACAAATACTGCAATTCGTGCCTTTACTTCCTCCTGTTTTGCTGCATTCCCAGAATCTGCACCATACGAATGAAGATGTTGATAAAGTCCAACTCCAGTGAGATGGCCTCGTTTACAGGGTCCTTGGGAATCAGACCACGCTCGGCCATACGGGCATGGTTGAGCACTTTCTGTACATCGTACAGGGTAAATCCACCAAAGACAGCGAGACCACCGTACAACCAAATGTTCTCAGTGAACATCAAAGTGCGGGCAGCAGTAGCAGGGACAACCATAGGAGCGAGACCAGAAAGCGCGACGATGGCGACACCAGCGAGAAGAGGACCACCGAGGTACATGTACTTATCAGTCTTTGCAGTAGCACCGACAAACGCAAGGGATCCCATCATTCCAGCAGTGTAGAGTCCAGCGCGAGCGAGGATTGCGGGGTGCATGAAGAAGAGCGGCGACAAGAGGAGGGCCTGGGTGCCATTGAAAGCGGTCCAGAGGGCATACTTTTGCACGTAGCTAAGATTGGTCAGTATTTTTGCTAATCAAAGTCTATGCTGAAATCGAGGGATACTTACTTGCTAGGGTGTGTTGCCATAGTGCCATACATAGTTCCGATGCTACCAACGAGTCCGACACCCAGCACCAGCCATGGGTTCGCGCTCATGAGCCTGAAACTCCAGCCGTTCATATGCAGGGCGCGCGCGGCAATACCGATGATTCCAACACCAAGGCCAGTATGCAAAAACGTGTCGTTGAGATACTCGCGCTCAAATGGCGGCATGCCGCCATCTTCCCGGGTTTCGCGGTTGAAGATAAGATTGATGCCTAGCAGTGTGGCGCCGAAGATGCCAGCGCCATAGAGCAGACGCTGTCGCAAATCACCCTGAGCAACCGGATTGTATGCAGCTTGCTGGTAACCCCTTCGGAAAGCTTGTTGGAACCTTGATACATTTTGCGAAGTTGATACCGTGGGCTTTGCTGGGCGGAAGAAATGCGGATGTTGCTTCAGTGGCGTGCCGTGGAAGGCGCGGATGGAGAGGGTTTGCGGTGAACTGTGGGTTGCTTGTCGCAATGTCGCCGTAATGGCGAACGGTCTCCGTAGGAGCGATGCCATTGTTGTGGTGTGCCTTCAGCAATGTTGGTGGTGGTGGTGCAATGGCAAGCGGCGGATATGGTGATATAGGCAGACGAGTGGATGACGTTTTGCTGGTGGAAAGCGCGAGAAATGCCAAGCCCGCCTTAACTCCGAGGGAATCTTCAAGCCCCTCCCCCGCCACATTGGTGAGACATCGAACAACATCAGTCATACAAGTAGACACAACTTGATCTTCAATTTTCTAGGGAAATCTCCTTTTGCGATCAAGACGTATAGTTGGCCTAGATCTTGCCTCGAGCCATAAAATCCTGAATGTTCTCAAGTACATCTCCTTTGTTCGCTCTCAGCAGCACTGCTTAGCAACAATACCGTCATTATTCTCGCGGTCATCGCAATGCGTCAGAGCATGCTTATGGAACACCATGATTATATGAGTATATGGTCTGGCTGATCACAGCGACCATTCACTTTTGCAATACTCTAACAACAACGAACATCACGAATTTCAAAGGGGCATACTTATTTTACAAAAGCACATGGGTTATACCAACTCTATGGGGATTGAACACCCTCTCTTGTCCTAATACACATGCTGAGACTATTGATAATATTCGGGATGGTATTCTGCCACTCTGATAAGTTCCTGTTGCATCTGTGACGACCCATTCACCATCTTGAATCTTTGCAACCACATCTTCCAATCAATATCAATACATTGTAAAGCTCACAATTGCTAAGATTTTCGAGTTTTGCTTAGATTCATTTTCTTCGTTCGGCAAAGATAACAGAAACAATCCACAACATTTTCTATATTTTGTATGGCTTCTCTCGTAAAGCTTCAGCCTTTGGATGTGTGCATCCCCGAACACAGCAGAGTTCGAGGGTAAGGATGGACAATCATACCAAATACTCATCCCACTGGCCCCGCGCACCCGCGGTCCAGGGAGTCTTTTGCTCTTCGGCGCTAGGGAACTTAAGAAAATATATCAGTACTGCAATGTCAATTTTTCGTAGAGTAAGGGCGGCTTAAGTCAGTTGGTTAGGCAAAGTAAGGCAAAGCGTTGGGTGCTGGCGTGTATTTAGATGGGAGGTGTTATTGGGATTGCGCTGGTATTGGGGAAACGGGCTTGGAGTTTGGAATTAGTGGGAATAGGAGTGGATATTTGGTCGTAATTCTGGTAGGAAAGCGTAGTTTTGTTTTAGGATTGTCTTGATTAATTAAATTGACATGGGAAGGACAGCTGAGGTTGGGTAGTTAATCTACGTGACGGATGCTGACGCCTTCTCCACTCTTGTATCGGGCAGTGATTAGTTACCATGTTATCTTATCTTATTGTTTCTTGTCCAATTCAAGATGGTAATAGTGCACAGTTGTTTTTCGGGCTTTACTTTTCTTGGTTTCTTCAGGCTTCGCGAAACTCCTAACGAATATCCACACCAGCATGAGACCATGTGCCGGCACAAGTATTGCGAATCCCTATCGAAACATACAAAAATCGATTAAACTTGTGCTTTATCATATTGGCATAATGTATTTCCTTCTCAACAGCTCTTTGACGGATCATAAGATCGATCGCTTGATCCATTGCACTTACGATTCAATACCTGAGATTTGCCCTGCAATAGTTCACTGAGAATTTCAAGAAGTACACATGAAATGTTTGGCTCGCGAAAAGATAAGAAGCACAAAGGTCTAGCTGCTATATTGACTTGTCGCTCCGGTTTGGGCCTTCACCGCCAGAATCCGTGGAGACAAAGGCATGAGAATGCGAGGTGATATCTGCACTATGTAGCCACAGTCGGTCATCCAAGAAAGGCGCGCATGGATACCCATACCTTTCCTAGCGGCAGACGTTCGAGTCGAAGTATGTTTGGGTCGATCCTGTTGATCGTATGCAGGTAGTGTGGGTTGATGCACGGGTCAATGCGGTGTTGCCTGCAGATCAGCGAGACTATTTGAACGTCGAAGAGGTGACCTTGTATGGGATTGTTGAACAATAAGCTCCTGTAACAAGCTATACTGTTGTGTAGCAGTTGACTGATCGTACATACGAAGCGTCACAATTGCGGCTCCAAGATGACATGCAAGTGTCAGCAACGGTTTTCATGCAGTAGTAATAGTCCAGCTATAAATTTTATCCTGAGACGTTGCAAGAGGTCCTGAACTGGTAACTTGTAGAATCGAGTGCACCGAAAGCCGGCATACCCATGTGCGAATCTTTCAAAGAAGACAGGGAAGTCATACCACGGAAAGACTGGCGGTGCCTTGCTGACAACCCCACCTATCCAAAAACAGACGTCAACCGCCGACGTTACATCCGCCAAATTCTTACTGCAGTTGACAATGCCAGAGATACCATCGGTCCTTATAGCCTCTTCTTCAAAGGGCGTTGATTTGATCCCAATGTAGGACGCTCAAATTGCTATACTCCCTTTGGAAAGCAAGCATTATGCTGGCTCGTTCTTCATAACGCCTAGAGCTTACTCATGGTCCTAGAGATATCTTCATCTCTTTTGAACCCAAGTCCCAGAGCACTATAAAGCGGAAGCGTCATGGTAGTTTTGTAGAGTGAATAGAGGGGAGTGCTGAGCCGCTGGCAATCTCCAAGATCAACTGTAATGCATTACCTAGAAGTCGCAGTTGACACTTCGTGGTAGTAAACCCGAGCCAGAGTTGTACGCGACAGTATGGGATGCGAGACAGAATGAGAAGAGAAAGACGCGTTTCGAAGGAGGTAGGGGAAAGGGGAGGTAAAAGAAGAAGGGTAAGCCCAGGGCGTGAGTGTGACGAATGATTGCTGTCCTCGTAATGCTAGTAAGCAGATGACAGATAGTCAATAATACTCAGCCAAGAGTCGAGGCGTATATCAATGTGGAGTGACGACCTCGTCACAATGATTCCATAGGGTGGATTCAATGAAGTGGGTTTCGTCAGCATTGTTTTCGGTCCTTTTGGACCGTGGTCTCCGAATTGCTCCTTGGTGAATGTATGCCAAGGTGGTCGGAATCGGATGAAGTCGAACGTGTCTCCAAGAATATCAAATCACTACAACACGCTACTATACGCCGGTCAGTGGGCCGCATTCTTGGAAGTAGTCCAATGGCTTCGATCCAATCGTTGGAGCCTCAAGCTTCTCGAATACGTGATAATGGCCTCATTCTGTGGCGCAACGCCGGTCATGGGCTGGACAGATATCGCCCAGAAGAAGAGATATCGGAACGTGTACAGACAATGCCTGTCGGATGTAGCCGTACAGCCGCACAGAATTGCGGCCGCGGTCAGAAAGGATCGGCGTGCTTGACAAAAACACAAAACAGCTGCATTCATACATATGCAGGGTGAAGAACCATCGGGTACATTCGCGGGCCATGTGATTGGTTTCCGTTTCAGGATCCATGGTCGGCATGTTTGCCGCCCCCAAGTACCCACTCTGCCTAGAATCTTGGAACTATAGGCTGGTGTGTGTTAACGGCTAACGCTGGGATTAGGGTTTGACTATGGGATTTGTGGTATTAGGTCCTTCTGTTTTGGGCAAACAGGCGTTGATACGGCGTCCGGTGAAACCTTTTGGGTGGAGTCGGTCGTCTATCTGGCTTGCAGTGTTTCTACCGACCAGGTAAAGCTGTTTGTGTGCCATGTTTTGTGTCCCAAGAAAAACGTGGATGAAGGATCAGGGGCCAGCTCGGCACGTGCAATGGGGGTCTGCCTCTAGCCGTTTGCATGGCCAAGTAAGCCACAGGGCTCCGGGATCGGATGGCGGTTGTGGGGGTCCTTCATCGGCGTCCAGTAGACGGATGCGAGCAAGACGGATAATACTGAGCAGGAAGACTGGGATCGGCATGTGATGTTGGTGTGATGGTGCAAAGGATTGTGCACGAGAGAGGTGGGCGCCTTGCCTCATCCAAACGTTTTCGCCGCTGCCGTCATGTATCACGTACGCGATGCCTAATCCCGTTCCCCAGCATGCACGATTCATTCTCGGCGTTTGTGCGCGCAGCAAGAAACCCGATCAGACGATATCCCGCACACCTACACGGCCAAGGCTCTTTGCCTCCCCACCTGGGGTGCGCAAAAACTTCGACAGTGCAAGACCCGCAACCCACTCGACTGGGCGTTGGAGCAGCGCTCGAGGGCCCATGTGACGTCCAGAAGACCCGGCTCCCAGGATGCGACGGGGCTGCCTGTCCACACACCGCCAGCGTTAGGCGTGCTCTAGAAGAGAAGGGGAGAATGGCTAGACGTTGGTTGCTAGGACGTGGTCGGACAGGCCGCCCAACGAACGATGGGCGTCGAAAGAAGCCCACTCAAGAAGGCTGGGCTGACGGCGAAGCATCTTGGCTGTCGCATACGCCGCTCTCCATCTTGGCCTCAACGAGGTGGTGAAAGCTTCGGCGCTGGCAGCGGCACGGCTTGACTGCGGGGTTTGCTCGCCAAGTTTTGTGGCTGCTTCACCGGCCTGAAGCTTCTTTGCGAGAAGAGAGATGGCAACAGGCCTCCGCGGCGCCATCAGAGCTTGTGTGGGCTCAAGCATCAAGAGTCTCTTTTCTTTGCCGTGGTCGGGCCTGGTGTTGTTGCGACGCTCCAATATGGTTGTGCTTGCAGCTGTCCCGCAAAGTTACCACCGTGCGGGAGACGCGAAGGAAAAAGTGCCCCGTGGGGAAAAAACACAACGGCGTCGGGCGTGGTCAAGATCAGCACACACACCCACTTGTTTTTCTCCGCGCCGTCTCGAGAGCCTTTGCACACTGACGACGAGATCCCGGGTCAATGTCTGTTCCCTCACTCGCGCTGGCGTCGTCTGGGGCCCACCTCGATTGCTTAGCGCAATATGGCGTCCTTGGCTGCCCCGGCGCGGTTACATCCACTGGCCGTCCCCCAACAACCACTGCACACACGGTCTTGGCTCTTCTTGGCCCGTATCAAGGTCCAGTGGCCGACTGACCAGGGCTTCGATAGCACCGTTGCGAGGCCTCACAGTGGTGCTGCATGAGACTCCAAAAAGTATATATTCGACTTCCCCGCGTCCAGCCATGGGGTTATCACTGCGATCGGACTCGTGCCTACTTTTAAAAGGCAGTCCTCCTCTTCTCCCATTGCCTTGAAATCTGCCCTAGAGTCTCCTCAGCCCTCTACATCATGGCGACCGCAAACCGTCCTGCTGACCCGCTGGCCAAGGGCGTCATCCCCACTGCCAAACAGAGTCTGAAGGACCTCTTCACCTGGGACCAGCGCATAGTCGTCACAAACGACTTTGGCGAGGAGCACTGCGAGTGGCAGAGGCCAGAGCCCCTCAAGAATCCCATCAGTCTTTTCGCCCAGCTTGGCTGGAAGGACTGGCTGTACTTCCTTGTTGGATTCCTTGCCTGGACAGCTGATGCTTTCGACTTCCACGCTCTGTCCATCCAGACCACCAAGCTTGCCAAATACTACCACACAACAAACACTGCCATCACAACTGCCATCACCTTGACGCTGCTCCTCCGCTCCGTTGGTGCTGCCATGTTTGGTGTTGCTGGAGACAAGTTTGGTCGCAAGTGGCCCATGGTCCTCAACATGATTATTCTCGGTCTGCTTCAGGTCGCGACCATCTATGCCGGCACATTCCAGCAGTTTTTGGCTGTTCGCAGTCTGTTCGGTCTCTTCATGGGAGGTGTCTACGGAAACGCCATCTCCATGGCCCTCGAGAACTGCCCGTACGTTTATGATGATTTTTTTTTTGGATACGCGTCAGATACTAACTTTCTCAGTCTCGATGCTCGTGGTCTTATGAGCGGTATCCTGCAGCAAGGATACTCGTTCGGTTATGTTCTCGCGGCCTGTGCCAACTTGGGTGTCGGAGGCGCGACCAGCACCTGGAAGACTGTCTTCTGGGTCGGTGCCGGTTTCTCCATTGCTGTCGGTCTCGTCCGTGTCCTCTTCCCTGAGTCGAAGCAATTCCTTGAGGCCAAGCGATCCGGCAACAAGAAGGCCCCCGGCGCTTTCTGGGCTGAGACCAAGCTCATGCTTAAGAAGGAGTGGAAGATGTGCATTTACTGCATCATCCTCATGACCTGGGTATGTTTTCTTGCAAACGTCAAGATTGGAAACATGAAAACTAACATTGATTTAGTTCAACTACTACTCCCACACCAGCCAGGACAGTTACACCACCTTCATGAAAGAGCAGAAGCATCTCAGCTCCGCCGGTGCTACCCGCGCCTCTATCCTCATGAAGACTGGTGCTTGCGTCGGAGGTACTATTCTCGGATACACCTCGCAGTGGTTCGGTCGCCGCCGAATGATTGTCTGCGCCGTCTTGATCTCCGGATGCCTCATTCCAGCCTGGATCCTCCCCACCACCGAGCGCGGCCTCTCAGCCTCTGGCTTCATGATCCAGTTCTTTGTCCAGGGCGCCTGGGGTGTCATTCCCATCCACCTGAGCGAACTTTCACCCCCTGCATTCCGCTCTTCCTTTGTCGGCATCACCTACCAACTCGGAAACATGATTTCCTCGCCTTCCGCCCAAATCGTCAACGCCGTCGCTGAAGCCACCATTATCAAGACGGCAAAGGGCGAACCATCCCCCGCCTATGGCCCCGTCATGGGCGTCGCTACTGCTATCATTGTTCTCGGCATTGCCGTCACTACCGCTCTTGGCCCCGAGAAGAAGGGTCGCCACTTTGAACAGGCCGGTCCTATTGGCGCCAACATCACCGCTCCCAAGGATATCGAGAGCGGCAGCATTCACAGCGAGAAGAACGGCGCAAAGGCCGTCGAGGTCATTGACCACTCAGAGAAGAACGAGAAGATTTAATGGGTTAAGCGCGCTATGTATGTGTGACAGGTTTCACAAACTACTTGATACCACTTCTCGGTCCATTAGAAGGACCGGTAGATATGACTCTGTAACGAAAGCAAATGCAAGATTATTTGACATACTCCAACCTTACCTTTTCTTTTCCACCTCAAAATCGCTCGTGAACTTGTACTATCGTGTATACATTACCTACCCTCATTCCAAAAAAAATTTGTCTTCTCTCTAGCAACTCGGAAAATTTCTATTCACAGTCCTACTATCATTCAACTACCGTCCGCCAAGCACCACATAACTGGCGTAACCCTTTCCCTTTGGCGCGCCCACAAACGTCCACCGTGAAAACTTATCCCGCGGAGCAGAGCCGCAACAAATCCTTTGGGGCTCCCCCAAGATCGCCAAGCGACGCACGTACGGGCTTGGGGGGTGTGGAGTCCAAAAATCCTTTGGCATCGTGGCCTGATGTTAGCTTCTGAGCTGTGTGAGCGAGGCTCTGTGGGTCTAATTGCGTGGTGGGCCCCATGTACCCCCCCCAATGAACAGATAGTGGGGTGTGGGTGCCTTGATTGGGTATCCCGGGCTTGAGGCGAGGGATTCGTGGTCTGGATCCGGCTCTTTTTTGCTTTTCTGGTTTTTTTTTCGTGGGGGGTGTGTGTGCGGAGGGGGTGGGGAGCTAGTGGTTTCAATTGTATGTAGTGTACACTAGGCATGTAGGTACAGTGCGTATAATATGGAAAGGTTGGCTCGGTAGGACGGGTCGTAAGTAGGTAGTGTTGCGCGCATGCGCGCGTACCAAGGTACTATGTGGATTGGGGAAGCTGCAAGGGGTTGGGGAATGAGGTGTACGGTTTTTGCTTCTGCGGGAAAGTGCGGGTGCCTGTGTCTTTCGTTGTTTTTTTTTGTTTTTTAAGTCTTGTTTGGAGATGGGTAAGGCTTTTGCAGTAGAATGGTCATCGAGCCAGTTAGACGTCGCTGTCACGTGTCTTAGTATGAAGTGGGCCTGGCGTGCTGTTCTACCAACAATGGGGGCCAGATCTGTCAGCCTATCTTGGCTTCTCTTATCTCTACGCAGCACGTGCATTTTATTGCCCGCCATGTTTGAACTAGAGAATGCCCACTGCGCGCTCAGGCCGAATCATTTCTATGAATAGTCACAACGGCATTTTCCCTTATACTCTCACTCACTTACTCAAATGTAGGCTCAAAATACTGTTAATATTCGACGAGGCAGATTTCTCTACGCCGGACATGTGATTGGCCATGCACAACCAGTGCCTAGAAAACAGCGTTGGCGTAGCCGGCAGGATCAGGCAGCTGAATTACCCCTCAGGAGTGCACAAGAACTCAGCCTTGTCGAGAGGTGACGGTCGCTCAACCTGCTCTGAAAATTCATAGAAATGCGTCTCATCAATCATCTACTTGTTGCTACCGCTACTGGCCCACTCTCTCACATCTATATTCTCTAGTTAATAGCTGTGGAGGCTGCAGGCCTTGCTATCGGTACTCTTGCACTTGTCGGTGTCTTTGGAGACTGTGTGGAACTTTTATCATATAGTATCGAAACGGCAAAGTCAATGGGCCAACATTATGTCGCGCTAGCAACAAGACTCGAAATCCAGAGAAAACTTCTGCACCAGTGGGCCAACAGACTGAAAATCTTCGATCCTGAACACTATGACAAGCGACTTGATGACCCTAACATTGAGCCTCTCATCTATCAGGGTTTTAGTTGGATTCGTCAGCTGCTCCAAGACGGCCACAAACTTGAGCAACGATACAGTGTCAGACCAGCCAAGATTCATGAATCAATGGAATCGCCGACAGCTTTTCGTCATTGGCTGATGTCAAAATTTAATTCAATGCCGCACAAGCTTCGATCTCGTCGCGACGTTCAGTCACTCCAGCCATACCAAGCTGTACAATCTGGCCCATCTTCAGGCGAGCATCATGACACTCAATATGTTGCTGTTGACAAGGTCAGATGGATTATCCAAGATAAAGAACAGTTTGAAAGCCTCTTCCAAAGCTTATCCGATCTAATTGCCGACATCAACGCAGTCATACCTCCACAAAGGGGTGATTCCACCAATACCGCCCTGCAACACGAAGCAGCCAATTTGAGTTCTGTCAGTGAGCTAGGGACTATCAAGACTGTTTTGCCGAATGAAGATGTCAATATCACTTGCAGGGTAGAAAACGGCATCGATCAGGAGTGCGCCAAGTTGATTCTCAACTGCCTCTAGTTCCGCTTGATTGATGACAGAAAAGACAGCATCTCTGAAGCACATTCCGAAACTTTCAAACGGGCAATCGAGCCTCCTGATCCTGGAAGCAATTGGAGCGACTTGGGTCAATGGCTACGATCTGGAGCTGGTATATACTGGATCTCTGGTAAATCCACGTCGACGAAGTATCTCTTTGAAAATTATGGAGCTCCAGAACTACTGCAAGAATGGGTAGGGAGTCGAGAATCGATCATGGGTAACTTTTTGCTATGGAATGTTGGAACTCTCGAGCAAAATACTTGTTGTGGTGTAGCCAGAGGTCTTTTGTACCATGTTCTGAAAGAAAACCAGTCTCTTATTCCGCACATGTGGCAGGAGGCTCAGAGTGGAATCAAGAACTTGAAGCTCCCTTCAAGCACTGAACTAAAATGGGCCTTACAACAACTTGACGAAGTATCAAAACAGGCGGCATTTGCTTTCTTCATTGACGCTCCTCCCCCTGTCAAGCGACAACTGTCGATTGGTGTCGCTCCCCCCATATTCCTGAAGTGGCTAGCTTCTGTGGCTAACGAGCGACACCAATCGACGGCCGTCGCTGAGCAGGGGGGGTCGAGCGACGGTTGTCGATTGGTGTCGCTCCACCCCACCTTCCAAGAGTGGTTAACTTATATGACTAATCGTGGCGACGGCTGTCGATTGGTGTCGGCCGGCAGGGG